GCTCCAGGTCCTTCCTGTGCTGGACCCCAGAGCTGGGGCAACTCTGCAGGTGGGGTCTCACCTGAGCAGGGCAGAGGGCACATTGTCATCAGTTGTCCCCAGGCTCTGTCTGGTCACAGCCTCCTGTTCTCTCTGTTCCCGCTCYGTCTCTGTCTCGGGCAGACACCACAGAACGTGCTTGGCTGCACCATCTGCATCCTCACGCCTGGGCGCGTTTTTGGCCTCCTCRGTGGTTAACAGAAATAGGTTTTAATTAAAAGCTCATTATCGAGTTGTCGTGTAGCATTAGTAAATAAAAATAACTTTTACAGCCCTGCCTTGTGACTCAGTAAGTGGCAATTGAAAGTATTTGACATCACTTTATTAACAAAAAAATTGACAAATATTACATTTTTGATTCCCCATTTGCTCCAAATGGGCTTTAAATCTAAATAAATGGTTGTCTGTGGCACTCTGGTTACCATTCAGGTCCAGAAGGAGAAATAAGTGTGGTCTGCAGTCTCAAAATCATTTTGAATTTCAGTTGTAAACTGTTGGGGTGGGTGGTTTGGGCATCTCCTGTGGGACAAGGGTTTGGAATAGCTACAGCCTATCCATTTCCTCATTCCCAGGTGGTTAGTGTAGGGATGCTCAGGCCCAGCTCTTTCCCTTCTGCCATATCCTTCCCTGTTTCAGCGAAGAGGTGTCGTGTTCTCTCGTTAAAATTTGATTCTGAATAGGAATAACTTCACTGTGAGAAAGCTGAGCACTCTTTCCTGGGGCTTGGTCCCCTTTTCCCARTGATCCTTTGGCTGTTTGACTTTGATAGTCACAGCAGAGGCTCTTGCCTCTCTTCTCATCCCCAGCACAAAGCTAACACCTAATAAAATTATCTGCAAYGCAAAACGCCATTTTCTGTGTTATTTACGGGTAAATTGGTGCAGTAAAATACTCCATAAATGTGAGTCATTTCTTCAAGGTCGTGCATTAACCTCATCCCATGTATGGGGTGTGCAGGGACYGCTGCTGTGGATTTCCCTGGGAAGCAGCTGAGCCTTGATGTCCTCTGCTCACTTGTTTGTGCCCTTACTGTGCCCCTGATCCCAGGAAGAGCTGAAGCTCTGGGGGTTTGTGTTTGTGATGAGGAGAAGGTGAGATCTTCATCTTCACCTTCCTGCCCTGGGCAGRGCCCAGGTTCTGTCCCTATTGTCCAAGGAGAGCCCCTTGCATAAGGAAACTAAACATTAAACTAAACCCGTCCCTCTTGCTTCCCCTTTTCCGCATTTGACGTTGGAAGAAAAGCCTCAGCCTGACAATGTTTTGGGAATCTCTTTTCTCTGTAGCCCCCATGCTCAACCCTCTCTGTGCAGGATGGTTGCACYCCTTTGTCCCTTGCTGCCCACTTTTTTAGAATCGTGGAATATCCCCATTTAGGGACCCACAAAGTTCATCGAGTCCCACCCGTGCCCCTGCCCAGACCCCCCAACAATCCCCCCTGTGCATCCCTGGCAGCGCTGTCCAAACGCTCCTGGAGCTCTGGCAGCCTCGGGGCCGGGACCATTCCCTGGGGAGYCTGGGCAGTGCCAGCACCCTCTGGGGGAAGAGCCTGTCCCTGATCTCCAACCTAAACCTCCTGACAGCTCCATTCCCTGGCTTGCCCTCCCTCTTTATCACYCCCTGACGAGGGGACCAGACAACCCTTCTGCTCATTTTTGGAGCTRCTTTATGGACTGGGGAGCTGAGGAGCAGTTGTGAAACTTGACAGAGAGGTTATGCTCCTAAATAAATCGCGCAGTTCCCTGCGAGTTGGAAATGACTCCTGATGCAGGTTAATAAATAATGCAAACCCTGTTAATAGATGCCAAATGCGCCGTCTCCGCCGGAGAAAAAGATGATGCCAATAATCCGGACTGGAAATATTCTGTTCTAGCCACTGGCTGCAGAGTTTTAAGTGCTTAGTGCTGTTAATTTAAAATGCTTTGCTGATAGATTGTAAGCGCTCTGTACTTAGTAAAGAACACAAACAGCAGCTCGCTGGAGTAACAGCCTGTTTATAAAGCACCTCGTTCCCGTATCCCTTTGGCAACTCCTGAATCCCTCCAGCCACCCGTGCTGTGATCCTGCTAATGGGAAAGGAGCTGCAAATGTCAGAGGTGATGCCTGCAGCACTGGGAAGGTGCTGGAGTGACGCATCCCGCTCCATCCTGCCGGTCACATTGAGGTTATCGTGATGTAGCTTTTTGCTGGGAGATGGAGCTTTGTTACAGCCACCCCAGTGTACGGCTGAGAAGGTTTCGTTCTGCTTTGAGCTCCTTAGTTTTGTTTTCAGGAGCTCACAATGCCTTGTAAAATCATCTTTGTGCTTCASGTGTCACTTGAGTGCCGTGCAGGGAATGGTGTGACAGGCACAGCATGGATGGAAACGGCCAGCCTGTCCTGGTTGTCTTCCAGGCTCTCTGGACAGCAGCTCTCTCTGTCCCCTCATACCGAGCGGGTGCTTTCTTTTTCAGTTGTTTACAACCACAAAATGTGGCAGTTAATGATACAAAGCCTGTAAAGTACGTGTGAGGAGGGCTTGAGGTCCTGAATGTCTGTAAAGCAGTTGGAGTTCAGCTGTCAAAAGATGCCWCTTGAATGCAGATAGTTATTTTAAGTACCGAAGTGTGGTGGGAAATCATGTCTGTTGGAATAAAGGTGGCTGCTGATCACTGATATATTTAATGAAGGTAATTCAGCGCCGTTGGGGAGGATCTGTGCAGTGTTATGGCCAGAGTCTTGAGCATTGTGCAGGAATGTTAAATGTCTGTTCCTGCCACCACAGAAACCYGCGGTGACAAAGCGCTGGTGTAAAATGCAGCAGCCGAAGCCTCACTTAAAATACAGTCCCTTGAAGGGGYGCTTGTGAAAAAGGAAGAGTATTTTATGCAGGCAGATAATGATAGGAGAATGGGGARTGTTTTTAAACTAAAAGAGGAGAGATTTAGATCAGRTGTCAGGAAGAAATCCAGCTGTGAGACCCTGGCAMAAGGTGCCCAGAGAAGCTGTGGCTGCCCCTGRATCCCTGGAAGTGTTCAAGGCCCGGTTGGATGGGGCTTGGAGCAGCCTGGGAYAGTGGAAGGTATCCCTCTCCATGACAAGGAATGGAACGAGAAGATCTTTAAGGTCCTTTCCAACCCAAACCATTCCACGATTCCTGTCACCAAGTTCAAAAAGCRGGGGTGAAAAACACACAAAGCTCCTGCTTTAATCCTCACTGTTGCTCTTCAAAACAAACTAGTTTGCATTTTAGGAGGAAACCTTTGGGTTGTGTCAGCCCTTGAGCACTGTTTGGGTACCTGAGGTGGTACGGTGAGGAGTCCCAGCCGGTGGAAATCSCAGGTTAAACGCACTGATCCCACGGGATGTGGAGCGATATCCCGGGAGGCGGCGCTGCYGTCAGCCGCAGGCGGGAGCCTGTCCTGGGAGCGTTTGGTGCAAGCACTGCTGCTCTGAGACTGAAATACGGTCTTAGAGAAGGAAAARCAGCCCATAATGCTTTATACAAAGCAGTTTAGTGAAGAAATAGCCTTTTGTTGGCAGCCTGCTTTTATGTGCCTGCAAAAATGGTACCAAATAGCTCTTTTAATGGGCTTCACTCTGTTTTGTCTGAGCCCTCGAATTAACCTCCCACTTAAAATCATAGTCAGGAAAAAATCTTCTGCAGTCTGAGCCATCCTGTGCCGAGCTGGAGCCCATCCTGGGGGCTGGAGGATAGCGAAATGTGTGAAATTAGGGGGGTTATAATTACAGCACTACCAAACTTGCTTCTGCTGGCGTTTTGACCCCGAGGTGTTGACAGCGCCCGATCTGAATCGCGGCGAGCGCACCGGGGGTGGTGTTTCTCGGGAGGCTGGCGTCGGCTTTGTCCTATTCCGGGACTGTCAGCCTGTGTGGCTGTGCTCTCCGGGAAGGGGGAGAGCAGTGACARAGTCATTACTGAAAGGCAGAGCTTGGCAATGAGCTGGGCCTGGCTGTGCCCACAAGGCGGCAGTGGGTGACAGCGGGAGCGGCCCCGGCATTAATATTGATGTGTCCAGGTGGCAGCGGGATTGAGTTGTAGTGACAAGAGAGTGCGCGAGATCCGTTTGCCCAAGGGCTTTGGAGTAATGGCCATATGTCTCGGTCCAGCAATTGTTTTCAGCGTGCAGATGGAAGGCCAAAGTGGCTTTGGCATATTAGATTCGTGTGGTTTATGTCCCTCTTCACCTCCCTGCCTCCCAACACCTCCTGCTTTTATGAGCAAACTTCAGTGGCATCATGGATGCAGCTGCAGGATTGCTCCAAGGACACGGTCCTTGAGCAGGACCAATTTTCTCTGCTCCTGAGCTGCTTTTGTCACCAACATTTTCAGCAGAAAATGCAGTTTGACTCTATCAAAACGTGCTCGGAGAGARCCGCTGACTTCAGTGGTAACRGTGGGGATTTTTGAGCTCTTTTTCYCTTCTGTCCGTGCAGGGTCGGTGGCTCTGGATGCACACAGTCCGTGCATGGATTGTGTCGCTGCTGATTTTGTGGCACCTCTTTCTGAACTCCTGGTGCTGATAGTAGTGCTTGTGCAGGGCTTCCCGAGCCTGTAGGGAGACCCCTCAAAACCAGCAAGGGGAAGTTGAAAGGCATTTTATTCCCTGCTGGCAACAGGCAGGAACCTAAACACATCAGGAACTTAAACCTGAGCTCAACAGGAGCATAAATGAACCCTTCAGTCCCCAGGGCAAGAAACAGGGGCTTTGCAGTGTCGTTTTTTGGAAAAGGGGGGAAATCACATCTCAGCTTCCTGCTGAGGGAGGAGCTGGTGATCTGCAGATGAGATCAGATGGAAGGAGATAACGGGAGCCTCATTAGGATGTTTTTGTGTCTGTACCAGATGCCTTCACAGGGGGGCTGTAATTGACCTTGTGAGGTGAAAACAGAGGGTTTGGTTAAATGGAGAAAAGTTCTGAAATCCTTCTTTATGACTCTGTTTCCTGTTTGCTCTCTGGCAGGTGAAGTGGAAGGGGAAGGACCTGTTTGATCTGGTGTGCAGGACACTGGGACTCCGGGAAACCTGGTTCTTCGGGCTCCAGTACACRATCAAGGACACGGTGGCCTGGCTCAAAATGGACAAGAAGGTTGGAACCAAAGTTCACAAAATCCTAGAATGCTTTGGGTTGGAAGGGACCTTTATGCTCATCTTGTTCCAGCCCCTTGCCATGAACAGGGATATTTCCCTTGAGAGGTTGTGTGGGATGTCCTTTCCTTTTTCTTTGAGGTTGTGTGATGGGTGAGCTGGGATAGATGTACTTAAATCCTGTCCCCATGGCATCCCACCCAGTCTGGGGGTGTCAGACTGGGAAAAGCTGGCAGAGATGCCCCATCCCAGCATCTGTGAACACTGAATTCCCTGGAGGCATTTTGGGAGACAGTCATGCTGGGGTGCTGCACTTTGGGGTGAATGCAAAGCAAATGAAATGTAAAAATMAATTTTTTGTGCCCCTGAACACTAAACAGTCAGCAGAAAGTGGAGTTGCCTCTTGTTTTGTTGTTGAGAAATACAGAGAGCTTGGGAGGAGGAAAACCAGAGGGAAAAGGAGATGGGGATAAGGGAAGAAATGCTTCCCAAATATGGGAGCAGTGGGTTTTGGAGGTGTCAGATGTGGCTCTGGTCACATCTAAAGGATGTAATGCTGCAACCAAAAGATCATGGACACTGAGGGAGGTCTGGGTGTCTCACCTCTCATGCCAAGGCTTTAAACCTTCTGGACAGTACCAGAAAAAGGTAGTGAGAAACAACACTGAAATAAATTCAGTGCAGGGAAACAAGGAGAAAGTCGGGTGGTGGCGCAGCAGGATCCAATATTGCTCTGCAAGGATCGGGAGAGGCAAGGAGCACATGGCAGATCAGGATCAACCTTCACTGTCTCATTTCTTATGCTGTTTGTTTCTGCCTTTTTTTGTTCTCTTGCATCATTAGGGGTGTCAGAAATGTTTGTTTTCTTTTTTTAACCACAGTGTCTGAACTATTTAGGTCTGTTCTAGATGTCTAAAAGTGGCTGACAAAAGATGTGCTGATCTGAACAGAAGGGAGCTGGGGCTTGTCTTGAAAAAACCAAATGGCTCTTGAATCCCACAGGTCCTGGATCACGATGTCCCAACAGAAGAGCCCAAAACCTTTCACTTCCTGGCCAAATTTTATCCTGAGAATGCAGAGGAGGAGCTGGTGCAGGAAATCACCCAGCATTTGTTCTTCCTGCAGGTAGGAGTCTGTGCACTGTTATCCAGCCTGAGGGAGAAGCAGCCAGGATGAACAGAAGTGCCAGAAGGTTCCAGGGTCATGGAGCTAGTGAGCAGAGTGTGCTCCTCATCCTTACATTCACACCTCTCCAAAAGGAACTTGTCTTCAGCAACAAAAACTTCTTAAAAGAAGTGTTTTTTGAAGGATGTTTTTTTGTGGAGGAAGCAGTCTGCCCAGACRGGCAGACCTCTGAACTGGCAGTCAGGAATGATGAGGTGATCCATAATATCCATGGGTGGTGTCTCAGGGACATGGATCTGTCAGCCAAGGGCTCTTGTCCCTCTGCAGGGTGTGGGATGAGCTGTGCTCAGGGGTGGCAGCTGCCTTTGGACGTGATGGTGTCGTTGTATGAGCAGGAGAATTTCCTTCTGGAGAGCAGAGTGCAGCCAACCTGTACAGMAAAGTTCCCCTCTCACAAAACAGCTCCAGGTAACTGGAACAGAAGAAAATCCCAGCAGCTCAGCTCTGATGGAAAAACAGAGGGGAAGGGGGGACCTCACGGTCCCACCTGCCCCAGGAGCAGTTAAGCATTTGGAAACTGTCAACACATCTTGGTTGGTTTTTTTTTTTATTTAAATTACTCTACTCTCAGGAAACTTTGTGTGCTGAGAAATCAGTTCAGCTGATTATGTGGCAATACTGCATGKCTGGTAACAAGGAGCTGCTAGCACAGGAGCTCTCTTTCAGAGAGATCAATTTTCTGTCACAAAATCCATCTTCTGACATATTTTTCCTTGGAAGAGTTGTGTCAAGCATGGTTACAGGGAGTAGAGCACTCCTAGACAAACCCCTGGATACTCACTGGGATGTTTCAGCTGCTCTGTGGCTGTTAGTTTGAAGATAAATTACACAAGTTTTTAAAAAGTCACTCATTCTTATATTTCTTGCACCAAAGTCAAAGCAACCTGAATTTGGGAATACCTCTGTAGCCTGCGGGGTGTCCTGCCCTTTCCAAGTGAGCTCACCAGCCTCTTGATCCTCCTCACTCTTCCAAAGTCCATCTTTTTCCTCCAGAGCCAAAAGTGTTCTAAATGCAAAGTATTCCTGTTAATTTCCAAGCTCTGTCTCGTGCACTGGCGTCCCTGTAGGGTTATTTCTGAATGTCTCATTTGCCAGGAGCTTTATCCACGGTGAGGAAAAATGCTGTTGGCATCTTTGAGAAAGAAAATCAGGGAGGAAAAGCCATTCAAGCTGCATTTTCTAAATGCAGACCATGACTTTGCTGCTGGGATTTGTGTGCTGAGAGGAGCCTGGGCTCCTGTATGCATTTGGGAAGCAGGAGCACATCTAAGCTTGTAAACTCTCCTGTTTTTTATCTTGATGCAGCAGAATATCTGCTGTGATTATGTCGTACCCAACTTTGAGGACTCAAAGCACGTTATAAATTCAAATTGATGTTCCTGCATCTCTGACAATCCATTTAAACCTCCCGGGAAATCGTAGCCTTTTTATTTTTTTTTTACCCCCCCTATCTTTAATCAGGAAAATTAAGTGTGCCAACCCAAAAAATATCGAACATGACAGGTTTAATTTTTTAATGCACAGAAGTCAGGGAAGTAAAGCTGTGGCTTTGGGGACCTGCACGTTGCCTCTCCCGGGAGTGCGCGCGGGGCTCTGCCTGCTGCTAAAAGCTCTGCCACGGAGGTGACCTGCAGCTCTCCGTGCTGGGATCTGGGGAATTAGCCTCCAGCACAGGTGAGCACTGACTCACAATGAGGYCTGAATGTCCCAGAGCAAAGCTTCAAGTGTTCAGAGACTCGGCTGCAAGCTGCTCTTTTGTGTTGCAGCGTGGATGGATGTCCTATCAATCTGTAGCTTGTGCCTTAAGAGGTTTTATYGCTGTGTTTACATGCAAGGCTTTTCCCCCACCTTGCCTTTAGCAGCAGCATAGAGGTGCTGTCGTTTTCCACTAATAAATTTAGCTCTTCTCACCAACCTGTTTGAGAAAGGTGGTCTGTGAAAGCTTGAGCCCTTTGGAGCCTCCAGAGAYTTCCCGGGCCTGGATTGTGATTAGTGTTAGGAAAATTGTGAACTCGCTGTGGTTGACAGCTCAAGTTGAAACAAACTGCAACCATCTGCTGTGACAGTCGTGCTCTGCCGTGCTCCACTAAACGTGTGTTATCTGTCCTTTGCTGCTCTGTGTGCAGGTGAAGAAGCAGATTTTGGATGAGAAGATCTTCTGTCCTCCTGAAGCCTCTGTCCTGCTGGCCTCCTACGCTGTCCAAGCCAAGGTAGGCACCAGGGGATGCCCCAAGGGCCTGCTGAGTGAGTGTTGATCCAGGGGAGACAGGTGCTTTGTGGTGGAGCCACTTCCTGGGCAAAGGGAAGGCAGGGAAAGCTGTGAAAACTTGGGAAGTGAGGGGGCTGCACTGTCACTGCTTCCTTCTCGGCACAGCTGGTTCCTGGCTGCCTCCAGGCATTGGATGGGTTTCTGCTTTCTCTTTCCAGGACTTTTTAGCATGTGCTGAACTCATGAGCTGCAGAGCCTGCTCATGAGCTGGAGCAGGTGAATTCCCTGAGCCCGGGTTTTTTTTTTTTTTCTCCCTGCTTTTGCCACTGTAKCCAGAGGCAAGCCAGCCGTGGGACTCCCAGCTCTCCTGCTCCCCYAGAGTACTTGTCATCATGATAATGACTTTATTTCAGTCCTAGAGCTGGCCACATCCATTATATTGCCCTGTGAAAGGGCTTTTCCTGGCTGCCTCCTTTATCTTGGGTGCTTGGCCTCACCAGACAGAGGGAAGAGTGAATGTTCATTGAATTCCCCTCGTTCCTCTGCTGGACTCAGCTCTGGGCCCAGAGTGGGTTTGTTTTGCTGAGGTTTTATTCCAGAGGACGCTGTTTTCCAGTCTAGGATGTGCAGCCGTGGACAGCTTGCCCAGGGCACAGAGACTCCTGGGCTGGAGGAAGCAGCCCAAGGTTCAGAAGCGGGGACATTCTTGCAGTGGGGAACATAATTTATGTGCTGCTGCTCAATTAACAACTGGAGCTCAGCTCYGGTTCATGTGTGCAAAGATAATGTCTTTGGGAGAGGAGTGACTGCAGTGTGAGTGCAGCCCAGAGGCATTATCTCTGCAGCTCGTGRTGGTTCTGACTCTGCATGGCATTTGGGGGGTTTTGGGAGGGTTTAGCTCACAGGACCTCAAGCAGGTGGCCATGCCCTGGGTCTGGTGTGTCCAGGTATCCTTAGGGAGCATGGCTGTGGAGTGCTATAGGAGGAGCAGCTCTGTGGGACCACCTTTGCTGGCAGGGGGTTTGGCAGAAAGGGCCTCATCCAGGCTGTTTTTTTCCCTATAGTCATATAATTTTCCTCATAACCCTTAAGTCCAYACTCTGAATAGAGCCCTGGGTGCTGTGTTTTTTGATGGTAAGTGTTTGAATTTACTAGAAATTGGTGTTTTCTCCTCATGGTCAAGAGTATTGGTAAAACCATGTTTTGTTCATGAAACTCATCAGTCTGGCAAAGGAAAGTTGCTTTTTGAAATGTTTCTGTTTGTGTGAAGCATTCATCACTSTTATTAGAGTGCATGAGTAAACACTTCCTTGGCTTTCTCTCCGTTGACCTGAGCTGAGGATACGTAGGGAATGACTTTTCCTGCTGCCAAAATGAACAAACATTGGGTAAATATTGAGCTCTGTTACCTCTTGGCCAGCTCCTGCTCATGTGCTCAGGAACAGGCTGTGACTTGGTGCAGGTCGGTTGTGCCGTCCCCTTTGTCCCCTTGGCACCTTGGATATCCTGGGGCATTGGGAGGAGGTCACACGGCGTCAGAGCAGTTCTGACCGTGCTGAGATCAGGAGAGGATGGAGGAGGAGTGACTTTTCTGMTCTTCACTAAAGGGCTTTTCATCAGACATCCCTCTCCTTGCTGCCTCTCCAGCCCGGGGTTCCCCCTCTGCTTTCGTTCCCAGCAAAAGGAAAAGCTGAAAGCACATCTTTGATAGGGAACCAGGAAGAAAGATATTGCAGGTCATCTCCTTCCAGTTAAACAGGATAACGATGTCCTTCCTGGACAAGAAAGCAGGCAGTGAGCGCAGTAATTTCACTAATAACGTGCTGATTTGCATGATTAGGGGCATAATAGCCTGACACAGCAGTGTGTGTTCATCCAACAGGCACTTACTGACAGCCAGGTGCTGCTGGTCCATCCACACCAACATGAGACAGCGAAGGAAACAGGGGGGCCATAAAAATAACAGCTTATTTATTTCCCTCTCATTGTGTTCATTTGGGGAATTACTATGTGCTTTCCCCTCCAGTCCTGTTCAAACCACCCACACTGCTTTCAGAGGTTGGAGGTAGTTCGGGTTTTAAATAGCTGGGAAAGACGTGGGATCGACTGGAAAAAAAAAAAAAATAAATGGAACATCCAGGAGGTTCTTCTATTTTTTCCTCCTTAAATGCTGGTCGCTGCCGTGCTGCAGCTCTCTCAGCACTTCAAATCTTGTAGCACAGCAAACAACTCTTTAATTATTATTGTTTTTCCCCAAAACAAGCAATGCTTGGTGTTAATTTGGGGCCGAGCGTGCCTGTGTTTATCCAACACTCTAAGCCAGGCGTATGAATGTGGTAAAGGCAATTCCATGCCCAGCCATGAATATTAATCATACGGTTCAATTAACAAGAGCTGAAATTCCATGACAGTTGGAAAGTAATGATTTAATTGAAAAGGCCTTTAGAAAGTACGTTCGCAAAATCATTTGAGCCAACAAATTCTGCAATACTTAAGCCATTTGTTGATTTTTGACTTGTGAATAATTAATGTTCTCATCCAGACTCCCTTCTCAGTACAAATATTCCTCTGGGACACGACAGTATTTTTCAGCACTTGAAAAGTCCCATAATCCATACTTAGTCTTGGATCTCCACGGAAGATCACAACAGAAAATAATCGTGTTAATCCTATTTGCTATTATTTTCATCACCTACAAATGATTTACTTGCTGCTTGTCCAAGGTTATTGGAGTTGTTTCCTTCACCAGTGCCCTGTTTTTAGTGCTGTTTCCCTTTGAGGAGGGCTCAAGGGCCGTGTACCTGCAGTGCTGCATCCTGAGGAGCTCCAAGACCTTGGAAGACAGAGTTGCAGCCGCTCAGCACCCTYTTGGATGAAATCCGGGCTGGTTTTGTTCTATTAATTGAAGTCTGAGTCAGTGTTGGTTGTTGTTACATGCTCCCTTCGCATCTGCATTGGCTCCAAATCAATATTTGTGTCTTTAATCCCCACGTGTTGTCTCCCAAGCGGAGAGGTGGGATGTGTGTAGAYTTCTGATGCTGAGCTCTGGTTTCGGCGCACGATGTGACGGTCCTGACACTAAAAGGAGGCTGAGAGGAGAAGCCTCCAGACTTGTTGCACGACCACAGGGTCCCTTTTGATCTTGGGTTTTAAATTTGTCACCATTTTGCACTTCCTGAGCTGAGGTTCCTCAGGAAAGCAGGAGGGAAGGACTGCAGTGGGGGACTGTCACCTCTGTCACTGCAGCAGTCCTGGTGGCCAAGTGAGTGCAGGTCACAGTGCTCCATGCACGTGCCTCACATCCTTTGTTCCTCTCCTCCTGAGCTTGCTGGGCTGATGGAGGAGCCGTTTTGCAGCRTTTCCCTGCCCTCTGAGGCTGTGCAGGAGGTAAATTCATTTTCACATGCACCGCAGGGACACGCTGCTCTTCAATCTGTTAATAAGCAGTTTTATTCCTCAGTCACTTTATATGCTGCTCAAAGAGATGTAAATCTAAACAAATACCAGTAATTAGTGGATGCACTTAACAAATCTGAATTGGATTCCATGACCCAGTTGAGCAACAGACCCTCTGACAGAAGAGCCACCACCTGCCTGAGAGGAGTCTGTCAAACTCCGCTCTAATTTTTTTTTGTATTTATTCATTAGGGTGATGAGCAGCACCAGAGGAACTGCCATCTGCCTCACCTGGATCACTGCTATCCATCAGTTTTTGGGGACAGCTCTTTGTCCATTTCTTATTTCCATGTTCCACTACCTGTGGAACTGCAAGGACCTCTCAGCTGTAAAGTCTTGCCCTGCACTGGGGGAGTTRTTAATTAGGGCATGATAATGAGAATAGAATAGACAACCAGTCCAGCTGGACTGATGGTGGACATCAGYTGGTGTCACCATCCCTAGAAGTGTTCAAAAACTGAGCAGACATTTGGGRAATTTGAGCTTCTTKGGGACCRTGGCAGTGTTCAGTCACYGGCTGGACTTRATCTTGGAGGCTTTTTCCAACCTTACTGACTGTGTGATGGGAAGTTTTATTCTGCTCCCACTTCTGCTGCATGAGTAGAAGGAAGCTCTTTGTTTCTTTGTTATTCACCTTAGAGAGCAGCAGGTTCTCTGCTTGTGGGGCAATGGGGTGAGCAGGCTGTTTGCTGTCTCTCAGGGTGGGTGTGAGGGGTGAAGTGTTTGATTTGCCATGTTGTTAACGTGGGCTGGGCACCGTGTCTGTGAAGTGTTTGATTTGCTGTGTTGTTAACGTGGGCTGGGCACTGTGTCTGTGCTTCTTCCCAGTACGGCGACTACGATCCCAACGTCCACAAGAGAGGTTTCCTGGCGCAGGAGGAGCTGCTTCCCAAGCGGGTAAGGAGCAGAGCGGAGCAGGTCAGGTGCTGTCCGAGCTGTCCTGAGCTTGGACGTGCTYCTGGCACCTGTCTCAGTGCTCCTGGCTTCCTTGCCAAGCCAGGAGCAGCAGTGTGACCTGGTCTCTGTCTCCCACCCACCCCAGGTGATCAACCTGTACCAGATGACTCCAGAGATGTGGGAGGAGAGRATAACAGCCTGGTATGCTGAGCACCGGGGCAGAGCGAGGTGAGCTGGGGCTGCACTGCTGGGTCAGGGTCAGTGCCCTCCCCTGGAGGGTCACCAGCATTTGGGGAGCTTGGGCAGACACTGCCTGAGCTCTGCTGCCAGCAGGTTAATCCCAGCACACCTCTGTAGTGGCCTGAGGAAGGGCAAAGGGCTTTAGTTGATGGCTCTGCATGTGCCCTGCWGTGCCCTGGTCATTGCCAGGGCCCCTGAGAGGACTTAGGAACGATGCTCGGAAAGGGACTCACCTACATCAGGGATCAGGGGGCTTCTGGGGCGGGGAGAAGAAGTGGGGATTCAAACTGTGTATGGCTGCCTGGGGTGGTAAAATGCTCCTTCTGCGGGATAAACCTAAAGCCATGGATCTGAAACAGTGGCCTCCCAGCCAGGGATTTCATGTTTCTGCTGAAGGGATTGGGAGGTGAACAAAGGCAGGCCTGGAGTGCTGCATCTCAGCACCACTCTGATGCTGGCAACTGCAAAGTGGGATTTGCTCTTGGACTTTATTGATCCTGCCAGCAAAGACAGGATTGACCTGTGTGATGGAGACAGTCCAGGCTTTAAAGCCTGGTGAGTGTTTAGGATCAKCAGGAGCAGCCCTGTCCCTCTCTGATCCTTCCAAACACTGTTCCTGCCTGATAGGGATGAAGCTGAAATGGAGTATCTGAAGATAGCCCAGGACTTGGAGATGTACGGCGTCAACTACTTCGCCATCAGGGTGAGTTGGGTGGCTTGGGGGTCCTCATTTCCAGCCAGTGTAATCTCCATCTCCTGGAGAGCCAGGAGAGCTGGGAAGTGAAATTTTGGGGAACCCCAGCTGTGCTGAGGGGAGGCAGCAGCTCCTGGTACCCAGTGCTGGGTCACCGCTCGGGGCTGGCTGAGGAGGGAACCATGGTTCAGGTCGGACCCTCACAGTGATTTCTGCTCTTTCCTGCTGCAGAATAAAAAGGGCACMGAGCTGCTTCTTGGAGTTGATGCCTTGGGTCTTCACATTTATGACCCRGACAACAGGCTGACCCCTAAAATCTCCTTCCCATGGAATGAGATCAGGAATATCTCCTACAGCGATAAAGAGGTATGGATGTGTCTCACTTCTTCCCTGAGAGCARTAAGAACACAATTGGGATTTAAAATGATTTCTCTTGGCTTCTCTGTGTGCTGTGCTTGCTCTCACCAGCTTAGTTAAGGGCAGCTCAACTCCTCCAGCTGAAATCTTAATCCAAGCCTTTCTGAAACCTTGCAGGAGTGGGCGTGCAAGGGGTCGCCAGGGAGCTGGTTCTCCCCTTTGGTTTCAAACCTTCTACGTAATAATCTTTTCAAAAACCCAAAATTACTGTTGATGTGCTTAGCCCAAATACCAGAGTTCACAAGTTAAAATCTCTACTTTACTGCATATATTACAGTATTTATTACTGTGGATATATCCTGTCTTATGGAATACAGGGAAATGTATTCCTGGGGAGGAGAGCTCTTGCCATCTCATTACATCATCTTGGGTTTCAGGCTGCTGGGCTTGGCATAACAGCTGAGATCTTTTTAGGAAGTTGAGCAATTTAAGCCTGCTGTTGGATAGTTATTTATTAAATACCGAGCCTAAATATGGGTCTTTGGGATTGTTGGCCCCCAAACCTAATTGAGAACAGAAGTGCAGTTGGCTGTGGAGAGGGGACTGAGCAGCTCCGTTGTTGAAGTGAGAGAGCTGCTCAAAGAAACCAGCTGCCTTCATGGTAAGGAAGAAAATTAACTTCTTAATTAAAAATGGTTTTCTAATCTAAACATGATATTGATCAGGGGAGCAGCTAAAGGTTTCTCATCAGCTGCATTTATTGCATGTCTTGTGAAGTTTTATAAGCAGTAAATCCGTGCTGGAATTGTCTCCACTTGCTTTACTCCTTAAAGAGCTTCACGACYCTGCAAAACGCTCAGCTCTAAGTGACTTCCGAAGCTTCCCTGCYTGTGACAGTGAAGTGGGAGCCCGGGCATTGTCTCTGGAGTCTGGGGACTGATCCCTCCACAAGCAGGCCTTGCCACAAGACTGTAGCAGAGCTCTCCCTGGGGGAAAGGAGGGATCCCTTCCATCAGCTYAATCATTGTGTAATGAGCAGCAGGMCTGACCYGACACAAACAGGGCAATAGCTGGGAACAACAGCGCTGCCAGCAGCACACCGGGGGTTATCCCTCCTAACAAAGATTGACTGTTCACATGGAGCTGGAACTCCTCTCYCAGCACATTCCTGCTGCTGCTCTCAGTGACTGCTGGGGGCTCTGCTGGAGCCTGATCCCAGGACGTTCATGCACGTCTGCTTTTGTGAAAGTCGTAAAAGATTGGCTCTTAAACTGCCAGAGCAAGGCAGTGCCAGGGCAGGGCCCTTTGCAGGCAGGGCCGTGTATTGACAGATCTCCCACTCTAATGGACACGCTCTGTCTGCTCCAGCTCCTCAGCCCGTTATTTCTGTAGCGTGTGGGGGAGTGATGGAATATGTGACTGTCTCCTAAAAAATGCCATCTTGCGGAGCACTSCATCTCTTCAAGTACCCTTTGGATAGTGCAGAGGCTTCTCTCCATCCAGGGCTGCATTACCAAAACMCTTGGGGGATTTGTGCCACCACTGTCCTCTCAAGAGAGCCACACTGGGAGAGCTTTGGAGWGGGTGAGCCCATGCAATGGGTAGAGCTGGTTGGTTGGCACAYGGAGTGTAAAGACAAATTAGAGTGAGGGAATAATATTTGGAATTTTGGAGAAGTCTTAGGACAAGGCTGAGTTCTGGAGAGGAAAATGCATGGGGAATTCTTCTGGGGAGCTCTTGTGAGTGGAGGTGTCGGTGGGAAGGACAGCAACTCCTTGCGGTGTTCCTAATGCAGCTCTCCTGCTCTTTTAACTCCCTGACAGGAGAGTGCAGCCAGGTGGGAGTCAGGCTCTTCTCCCAGCTAACAAGTGACAGGATGAGATGAAACAGCYTTGAGTTGTGCCAGGGGAGATTTAAGTTGGATATTAGGGAAAAATTCTTCATTAAAGGGCTGTCAAATCCTGGCCCAGACTGCCAAGGGAAGTGCTCGAAACACTTGTGGATGTGGCACTCGGGAACGTGGTTTGAACATGRTGGTGTTGAGCTGACACTTGAATGCGATGATTTTGGAGGGTTTTTCATCCTTAACCATTCTGTGGTTCCATCGGGCAGCTGAGCTGGCTCTTCCTCCCTTTGGATGCATCCTGAGCTCCTGCAGTGGTTCCTGCAGCTCCCAGGAGAGCAGCACCTTGCCTGGGGAAATGTTGAGCTGTCCCCCCACCTCTGCAGGGTTCTCTGCAGAGGACATCAGCTCCTGTGGCCCCCGTGTTTTTCTGACTGGAGGAACAGTTGTCTCCTTGGCTACTTTTGATGCAAGTCCTCTTGCTTGGCACAGAGCCACGGGRACGGCTCTGAGCCGTGTGTCTGACCCTGCTGACCTGCTCTGAGCCAAAGCTTTCAGGAAGAATTTTATAGCTGCGTTTTTATTAAATGCACCACTCTCTGATAACTCTCCCCCTCTTTATTTTTTCCTTTTCAGTTTACGATTAAGCCATTGGACAAAAAGATTGATGTTTTTAAATTCAATTCATCAAAGCTGCGTGTGAATAAGCTGGTAAGTGCACAGACAGTCTTTTTTTTTTTTTTACTGCCTGCAGCAGTGGGTTCTGCAGAGAGTGTGAGACAAGGAGCTTTTGGGGCTTTTCCTTTGAGAGGGAGCTGCTGTTGTGTAGCTGTGATGGGGTGTAGCAGTTACTGCTCGCTGAAGGAGGGAAGGGGGAGGCTCAAGACGAGCTCCTTCAAAGAACCTCTCCCCCTCCCCGATTTTTGTGCTCCCTTTCAGAGGTCTTGGCTTTCAGCTGACCTAAATAGTGRAAGCACTTGGTAAATACAACTGCCAGCTTTGCTGAGTCCCCCTTTCTTCCCCTGTGGATCTTTCCCATTGTGCCCTGTGTCAGCTCTCTCTCCCTGTTTTGGGAGGCACCATTTTCAGCCCTAGCTTTTCCCCCTCTGAGGACACTCTCCTTGGATAAGGATGGAGTGCACTGAGCTGTTCTTGTTGCAGACCAGCCTTAGCTGATGTTCTGGATTTGCATCCATTGTTCAGTTTTTAGGGACCTTGCTGTCCTGGTTGTTGGCTGTGCTTCATGTTCCATAGGGAGTGAGGCTTCCCCATTCTCTACACCATCAGGGTCATAGTGCTGAAAGCTCCTCTGGCTCCAGAGAAGTCATTTGTGTCTTTGGAAATGTCATTTGTGACTTGGGGTGTGGCTGYCCCATCCYTGGAATGTCCAAGGCCAGGTTGGACAGGGTTTGGAACACCCTGGGACAGTGGAAGGTGTCTCTGTCCCTGGCAGGGGCTGGGACTGSATGGGCTTTAAGATCCCTCCCAACCCAGACCATYCCATGATTCTGTGATTTTACGAAATGGAAGAAGAGCATGTAAATCAGTCCTTTAGAAAAGATTCCAAATTTAGAATGCTGCTTTTATTGCCAAAAAAATCTTTTCACTYCTCTGTGTGCCCACCTTGTGCTAACCCTCCTTTAGCATTGCCACCCTCCTGGTCCTTACCACACTGGGGCTCAAATCCCTTCAGCAAAGGTATCTGGAGATGCCCAAGCAAGTTTTTGATAAGCTTTCTGTTTGTCCAAGTGGAAAGTAGGTTTCCTTTCCTTTTTTCCTTTTAATTTATTTTTTAATCTCAATGCCTTAAACATACACTTGGGAGAAGGTGAAAGTTCACCTTGAGCTCAAAGAAAGGGGGCAGTGAGAACCAGGGAACCGGGCAGAGCTGTCGAAATTTTTATTTCATTATTTGGCCTCTTGCCTTTTTAGGGTGGGTGTAAAACAACACCCGTGCTGTGCTGGAGGCACAGAAAATTGGTCTCTGCAAAGAGCTGCTATACCCAGGAGCTGGTGTTTGCTGTGGGACCTRGCTCCCTGCCCCTCCTACGGCTGTGAGAGCTCGCAGGGTTGGAGCTCAGTGGGTGGAAGCACTAACAAGCACCAAATCAAAGCAATTCTAGTGGTTCTGTGTGTCAAGAATACAAACCACCTCATCGCCGTCACGTGTACAGCTGTTTCTTTCCGCTCTTCACCCCTGACTGGAACAGATTCTTCAGCTGTGCATTGGGAACCACGACCTGTTCATGAGGAGGAGGAAGGCAGAYTCGCTGGAGGTCCAGCAGATGAAAGCACAGGCCAGGGAGGAGAAGGCCAGGAAGCAGGTGAGCCACATGTCCTATAACCAGYGAGCCAAAATCAGAAATGCAGATGGACTTGGGAAGGACAGGTCTCTGGAACCATGTCAAAGCAGCTTTGAGGGAAGGTCCAGCTGAATRTTTTTTAGTAGCCTCCTCCCAGCTCTCCTGTCATCTCAACTTGGCTCTGCAGGCTTATGGCAGCCTGAGTCCAGCCCCCAATTTAGGAACAAAACTGGGAGAACAGGAGGGAAGAACTTCCYTACAAGTGCGTGGCGAGAGGTGTGTTGGGACAGCTGATCCATCAGGGTCTGTGASGGGGAGCTGTGCTCTGCCGTAGCTCTTTGCCTCATTCCCTAATTGCAGGCTGATGGAATGCACGCCGACATTCCGGGCTGTGCTGCCTGGAATGCTAATTCCACGCTGGCCTCTCTGTGCTGCGGGTCAGCCCGGGCGGCCGGCCCGGCGCGGCGGAGGCAGCGGCGTGGAGCCCACGAGCAGAGATCAGCAAATTGAATTGTATGAATCATTGTTTTCTGCTCGTAGACCTTTTCTACTCACTGAAACCCACACAGCTAATCTGAGCACTGGTGCTCGGAATATAAATGGCCCTTTGGCAGGGAAGCCACTAGAGACGAGCAGGAGAAGCCAGAGCAGTCGCTGCACCCAGCAGGGGCCTGTGCTCACGGCTCTGCTGCGTTTCTGGGTTTGAGCGTGGCCACACAGGTGCTTGGGTGGGGTGGAGGTGCTCAGCTGGCCTGGAAATTGAGTGTGGCTTGTCCTTCAGGCACTTCTCTCTTCACAATCCTTGGGTGGTGGTGAGGTGCTCAGCTGGACTGGAGATGGGACAGGGCTTATCCATCAGGCACCCATCTCGGTGTTTGTGTGGCATTGAGCTGCTTAGCTGGCCTGGAAATGGGATGTGTCTTGTCTGTCAGACACCTCCCAGGGTGCTTCCGTGGTGTTGAGGTGCTCACCTGATGTGGAGATGGGCCTTTTCTTGTCCATCAGTCACCTGTCTCACAGTTTGTGTGGCACTGAGGTGCTCAGCTGGGCTGGAGGTGGGGTGGGACTTGYCCCTCAGGCACCTCCTGAAGCAATTCTCCCTCCTGGAGCTCGTGGAGTGGCAGGAAAGGACAGGATTCGAGGCCCTACAAGCTCTGCTGGGGAAGAGGGACTTTGTGTTTCCCACAGGGATTCCCCTGGTCAGGAAGGAGTTGGCATTATAGAACCATTAGGTTGGGGAAGGCCTTTAAGGTCCCAAGTCCAGCTACCAACTCAGCTGAGCACCTCAACGTCACACCAGCACCTTGGAGGCAGGTGGAGCAGAAGATCCTTGGAAGGAGCAGTGCAGTGTCCAATGCTGGTGGCTTCAGGGATGGATGGGCAGGCACTGGAATGGCAAGTGGTGAAGTCACCATCCCTGGAAGRGTTTAAAATGGMTGTGGCAYTTCAAGATATAGTTTGGTGGTGTACACAGCGGTGCTGGGATAATGGTTAGGCTGTTTTAAAGGGCTTTCCCAGSCTTAACAATGCTGTGAGTCTTTAAGCTGTACAATCTGTGAGTTTTTTATGTAACACCAGACCCAAGATGCTGTGTTTATTTGGGCAGCTGGGAGAGGTGAGGGCACTGGGAGGGAATAGCAGCTTATGGCTTCACATGAGCTCCCAAATCCAGAGCACCTGGGCTCCAGGGAAAGGTCAGGATCCTCTGTGGGCTGCCCTGTCCTGAGCGAGCCACYTGCTCTCTGCCCTGCTCCCTCCTCCCTCCCCAGCACCCACAGCTGTAACTGCTTTCAGATAGCCCTGTTAGATCAGGAATTCTTGTTAATGGAAGTCCYGAGCGGGATGCAGATCATAATGATAATTAATGAGGGGAACCTTTAATCGAAGGAAACAGCACGGTTGGAACAGTGGGCGTCCCACTTTCAGAGCACAGCTGGTGGCCAAGGAGCAGAGAAATGTGGCTCGTCTCACTTCCTTCCCTTATTAAACCCAGCAGGTCTCCTGTCCTGGCTGTAGCGTGGATATTTATAATGCCCCATCCCTGTAGGACTACARGGATTAAACTCAGTGTGTTAATTAGCCCAATGGCTCCCTTGGACTCTAGGCTAGTGGAGAGGCAGTTCCTGGGCACAASAACCCTCCCAGCATCTTCTAGGAAGAGCTGGCAGATCCTGGTGGCTTGGATCTTCCCTTCCTGGAGAAGCATTGCTGTTCCCTGCAAACAGAGAGTGTGTGTTGTACCCAAGAATTGCCAGAGGTGGTTGCACTCTGTRTCACCTCCCTCTGAACGAATGGAAGAGAAGGTTCCAGGGTGCTGGGTTGGATATCTGCTCAAAAGGAGCAGCTGTCCTTGTCCTTCAGCCTCCTGCCACAGACCGTGCTTGTACTTGGTGTTTGAAAGATGCCCTCGGACTGTCCTTAAGCCCAGTCCTGCTGGAAGAAACTCCAGAGAGTTAAGCTGGAGATTTTAGGATGCACTATTCCAGTCTGCCCTGTGATTTGGCACAGGAAGGCATTGTCTGGGGACATCAGCACCTGCAGGCAGATTCTGTAGCCATGCTGTGAGTGACAGCCTGATCAGGGAGTGGGAAATGTCTCAGGAATGGCACTTTCCAAACCAGCATCAAACAGGCTGCCCAGGGCAATGGTGGAATCACCATTGCTGGAAGTGTTAAAAACATATGTGGATGTGGCACTTGGGGACATTGGTTAAGGGTGGCCTTGGCCATGCTGGGGGAACAGCTGGACTCCGTGATCTTGGAGGTCTTTTCCAACCTGAATGATTCCATGATTCTGTTTTTTGATCAGGTCACCCCAATCCAGCGATGTCCCCCATGTCACTGAGCAGAGAGGAGRCWGCAGTGYTGTGACCCCACCTATGACTTTTTCTCATCCACAGAAAACCTTTCTAATGTGTGTTTTTCTCCTCGCTTTCCCCAATCCTTTTTTCCCAGATGGAACGGCAGCGCCTGGCACGAGAGAARCAAATGAGAGAAGAGGCTGAGAGGACCAGGGATGAGCTGGAGAGGAGGCTGATGCAGCTAAAGGAGGAGGCAACGATGGCCAACGAGGCTCTGGTGGGTCYCTGGGAGGCCATTTCCTGAGCACTGCAGCTGCTCCTCGCTCTTTGTGCCGCAGAAGCGTTTTTGGAAGCGCTCTATGGCTGTCCTAAGACTGCTCCCAAACTGCTGCCAGTGGCCAGTGAGCAGCAGGCAGGATGGAGCCATTTCATCCTGCTGGGCTGCTTGGGAGGAGCACAAAGAGGATGATTTGGGACAGAGCCTGGGCATAGCCCGGCCTTGGCGGCAGACGGCCGCAGGCTTGCATGGAAGGGAGGGATTCATTCTATGGAGCGTGGCGGAGCGAGTGGCTCAGGGCCCTGCTCCCCAGACTGTGGGCACATTTGGGGACACATGGGCTGTGCTTAATGGCTTTGTGTCCTGGAATTGTCAGATGAGGTCGGAGGAGACGGCCGATTTGCTGGCRGAGAAGGCGCAGATCACGGAGGAGGAGGCCAAGCTCCTGGCTCAGAAGGCAGCCGAGGCCGAGCAGGAGATGCAGCGCATCAAGGCCACGGCCATCCGCACCGAGGAGGAGAAGCGGCTGATGGAGCAGAAGGTGCTGGAGGCGGAGATGCTGGCACTGAAAATGGCTGAGGAGTCRGAGAGAAGGTCAGAGGGTACAGCTTTGCAGCTGCCTCTGCTTTGCTTCTCATCCCCTTCGAGTTACCCCTCTGAGTTACCCTCCCTCGGCTTCTCATGTGTGTCCAACAGCAAATGCCCCTCTGGCCGTGATGGTTTCCCTGTCCAAAAGACAGCTCTGCCTTTGGGTGCTTTCTGCAACTCCCTCCTGCATTCCCCATAGTATTTGACAACATCAATAACAACTGGGGTTGTTTTTTTCTGGGTGGTAGATCCACATTCCCTATTCTGTGCTCATTCCTCTGCTTACCTCTCACTTGTTCAGTTCCCCTGTCCAGTTGTGAGCTCTGCTCCAGGTTAGCTTCGAGCTCTCCCCAGCTCCTGGAGACTTCACTCCTTGTTAAAACTGGTGCTTCCACCTTCCTGATAGCCAAGCCCAGCTCCCATGGTGAATGTGGCAGTGAACAAGTAAAAGATGAGCCTTATTTCCTTCCAGCTGATTACCCCTGTCCGTGTGAGACCTGCTGGGTGTCAGTCCTTCTGCTCGGATGAACACAGCCCTTCTCCATCTCTCCTTGCCCATTCCAGACCTGCAGTGCGATCCTGCTTCTCCATCCTCTCGTTCCTCCTGGCTCCAGTCTGATATTTGCTGTTTGCTGTTGGTCTTTGCAGGGCAAAGGAGGCTGATCAGCTCAAGCAGGACCTGCAGGAGGCTCGCGAGTCAGAGCGGAGAGCCAAGCAGAAGCTCTTGGAGATCACCAGCAAGTCTTCCTACACAGTAAGAGAGATCTGTATTGTAATTCCCAGTTCCATGTCCTCCTRTGCAGCCTGGAGGAGCCTCCTTCTCCATCCCAGTCGTGGAGGGGGCTGAGCTGTCTCATTGCTGCTCAGAAATCGTGAGCACTGCTTGCCCTTTTCATCCCTGCATCTCACCCAGAGCAGAACTTCACTATGCTCTTTTTTTATTTTTTCCCACCCACCTCTTGCTACGAGAGCAGAGGAGCTGCTGGTAAAATTAAAGCAGCAAATTTTAAACTAATTTAGCAGCCATATCAGAGCCATGCTTTGCCAGCACGTGTGGAGTGCAGCAGCTCAGCAATAACCTTTAAAATAGGGTTAAGTATGTCCTTACCCGTGTTGAGTGGAATAAACACTGTTCAGAAACTGTAAATTCATTCTTTGGGCATAAACTGGACCTTTATGTGCTGAAAAAAACTTACTGGAAGGGAGATTATTCCTTAATTGTCCATTAAGAGGATTTCACACCTTCCTCTGAAGCATCTGGTCCCAGTTCCTGCTGGGCACCGAAATGCCAGACTAAATGACCACTGCTCTGACTTGTCTGGCAGTTCCTTTCCTCTGCTTCCCTAATTGTGCCTGCAAACCCCATCAGGWGCCCCCATCCCTGCAGCTCACACCTGCCAGCATTCCTTGCTGGCCCAGGGGAAGGGGAAGAGCATCAGGAATGGGCTCGACAGATGTACGTGGGAGTTATGGACCTGCCAGCATCAAGGTTTGAATTTGTACCTGCAGGCTCCTTCCCCCTTCTCTGGAAACTTTATAGGAGCAGATTGGAGAGGGGTTGAGATGAAGTAACTCTTCATCCTGATTCTCRGGAGTTCCCTGCAGGAATATTTGGAAGCTGTTAAAATTTTTTAACAGTKATGGGAAATGATCAGGTGCTCTCAGCTCTGGGACACTCAGTGAAGTGAGTGTTGGCTAAAGCCCAGCTTTGGAGTGCTCCTTATTTTACAAGTCACTAGAATTCTGGGATGCACCAGCTTTCTAATTCTGGGTTCTGCTTGAGTGCAGGGAGGGGTGTCCTCATTGGAACTCTACTGCACGGCTACACCAGCCTGGGGTGGAATTTGGGCAGTTCTTCAACATCCATGTTCCCTCGTGTTGCCATGTCCATCCTTCCTCAAACCAGAGCCCCAGCTCGAAGTCCCTGTACCCACATCCTGGTGCAGGGGAGCAGCTGGGTCGCTCTGTTCTTGTGGAGTTAGAGCCTCATTAGTGGCAATGTTGTGGGATTGCATGGAGCTCAGCTCCACCCCTCCAGCTGCATCTGCCTGGAGGCAGAGCTGCCGCTTCCAGGCACATGGGGCTGTGTCCTGTCCCTTCCCTAAAGAGCCCTGGCCTTCTGGACGTGGCTGCCAGTGCCTGGTGGGGAGGGAAATGCTTTTTTCCTTCCCATTTCAGCGTCAGGGTCCCTTCGTGCAGCTGCTGTTCCTTTTCCTGCCATGGAATGAGGGCTGTGCTCACGGACTCCATGGCTGTTGTTTTCCTAGGTCAGGAGGAGGCTGGTGTGGCCAGCATGTCCATATCCAGGTGCAAACACCTTGCTGGGCTCTTCCATCCTCTGTTACACTTCCCTGCTTGCCAGCACGTGGAGGGACCCTGTTTTGAAAGGTGTTTTTGGCAGCTCTGCCAAACARTGCAGGATTCCAGCTTCTCTCTTCCTTAACAAGGGTGTAGTGTTGGGATTGTTCTTTTCCATGGTCCCTGACTTGTGCTGTGTTGGCCCCTGACACTGGGAGCTAAGCAGGACTTGCTAAGAGCAGGAGAGTAAGGAGGGAGTGGATGGATATAAAATCCTTTAGGCTGGAAAAGACCCATAATAGATCGAGTCCAGTCCCTAACCTAACTCTGTGCTGCAGAAAAGGCAAAAAAACCAGTTAAATATAAATATATATTTTAACTTTCCAGTCCCCAATTCTGGTCTTTAAAGCTTGTTTCAGTGTCTTTTTAGTCCTTGAAGCCCAGGCTGCTTTTCTGATGTCACTGCTAGGTGATGCATGAGAAGTAAGACATGGATGTGAGTTTCAGGCCGTCAAGGCTTGGAGAACAGCTCATTCCTTACGGACTTGGCAACTGCTCTTTGCCTCCCTGCACACCCTTCAGGTGCCAGATAAAGGCCATCACCTCCTCTCTGATCCCATGGAAGCTGTAACTGACTGGTTTGGGCTTGAGCAGCAAAGTAAAGGCAGTGGCAGCAACAGGAGGAGCTTTTCCTGTGGGGGAAGCCTCCTGATTTGCTCTGTGCTCCATTGGGATGCTCCGTGTCGCTCTGTATTCCGGAGGGATCGCAGGGATGACCGCTTGCCTCTATTAACGACAGGAAATTGCTGTCATGCAGCGACGGGGCTTTGCAGTTTGTTCCAGGTGAACAAACACATATGGAGAGAGCTCCCTGCTCCTTTAATCACCCCTGGATTGGAAATACCAGCACCCGCTGCAGGACCTGCCYGGGATTGGTGCAAATGGCAGGGAATCTGCAGTAGGCGTTCTACCCCTCTGCCCTGCTCAGGTGAGACCCCACCTGCAGAGCTGCTCCAGCCCTGGGCCCAGCACAGGAAAGATCTGGAGCTGCTGGAGGAGTCCAGAGGAGGCCACGGAGCTGCTCCAAGGGCTGGAGCCCCTCTGCTCTGGAGCCAGGCTGGGAGAGCTGGGGGTGCTCACCTGGAGAGGAGAAGGATCCAGGGAGAGCTCAGAGCCCCTTTTGGAGCCTAAASGGGCTCCAGGAGAGCTGGAGAGGGACTGGGGACAAGGGATGGAGGGACAGGACACAGGGAATGGCTTCCCAGTGCCAGAGGGCAGGGATGGATGGGATATTGGGAAGGAATTGTTCCCTGGGAGGGTGGGSAGGYCCTGGCACAGGGTGCCCAGAGAAGCTGTGGCTGCCCCTGGATCCCTGGCAGTGTCCAAGGTCAGGCTGGATATTGGGCTTGGAGCATCCTGGGACAGTGGAAGGTGTCCCCAGTGGAACTGGATGAGCTTTAAAGTCTGTTCCCACCCAGGCCATTCCTTGATTCTGTTAAATGCTTTGCCCCAGGTATCAAGCCTGTGCCTTTGACAGCCCTAAACCTGCTCAATCRTTGTTTTTTCCATACTCTTCCTCACTCCTGCTACTCTCTGACTTCCCCACCAATTTTTTCCTTGCTTGTGGCAGAGCTGTGCCGAGGGAAGGGAAAGACATGGCTGTAGCAACCCTAATAAATTGGCTCAGRCCTTAATGGCTGCAGCAACTGAAATTCCTGTTCAACTGTTACTGCTGCTGTTGGGAGTTTTTAAAAACAAAACCCAACAAAGCTTGTGCTGAAAAAAAACAAGCTAAAGGTTGTTTGAAGGCCAGCAGGCWGGCTCAGATGCTCCTGGCTCCCCCGCGCTGCAGGGACGGGAGAACCTCACGTGGGAAGGGCTTTGGGAACACCTGTGTGCCTTACAGGGAAGGGACTTGAATGTCAATGGGATGCAAGTATTTAAATCAGTTAAGTGCTTTGGCAGACCTGTCCCCTTTCCTTCGAGACTGGAATTTAGGCACTGAGCTGTCCCTTCCAGCGCCTGCTCCAGAATTAATGTGTCTTTGTTCTGCAGAGGGGGAGGAAGGAGTTGGGTTTCCTTGTCATGTGGGTCTTAACTCACCTGGAATGCTCCAGCCAGGCCAAGTGCAGTTTTAGGCACCACCTTGTTTATGCTTGTCCGAGATGTTTGTGTTCAATGAAATGTTGTCCCTCTCAGCTTTGTCCGAGCTGGGAAGGAGCCCTGGCTGTTTGTGAATTCCAGGCTGGTGCTGACGGAAGAGGCAGCTTATTGTGCAGAGTAAATCTGTCACCCCGGTGCTTGCAAGTCTTGCTGAAGTGGAGCTAACTGAAAACAGTGCCTKGAGTATCCCAAATAGGAGAAATCAGGGGAAGAAAGAACCAGGGGAAGCACAAACTCTGGTTTGTGGGAGCAGGTACCCRGCAGTGCCAGTCCAGGTTTGGACAGGTGGTTTTCCTTACAGGAACCCCTTAAAGCAAGAAGGAGCATCCAGGAGTGAGGTGGGGGATGCTGGGCTGGATTTCTCATATCCCAGAGCAGGGCTGGCAGCAGTTGTGACTCAGCCCCATCTGATGCCACTGTGCCACCCTTGACGTGTGCCCTGTTTGCCACCTCATGCARTGTGCTGCAGGAGCAGAGCCATGACTCCATCAGGCTTTTCCTCTCCTCCTAATGAGCCCATTTGTTAGAGGTGTGACAGAATTTTTGCCTGAGAGGAGGAAGGGTCATTTTTTAGCAGCAGATAAAATCCGAGGGCCTGGCAGTGTGTGTCACTGGGGGATAGCAAAGCATTCTGCAGGAGGAAGAAAGTTCCAAATCCTTGCTTAGGTGTTCAGGAGTGTTTTGCTGTGTTACCTCAGCATTTCCAGCTGAATCTAGAARTGCTTTCTAAACCTTTGGAACTGTAAATTACTGAGGAGATAAAAATGTGTCGCTGCATCTCCATGGACCTTGCTGGAATGGCATCCTTGGGGTCACATTGGTCTTTGCTCGGGCTTTGTGGAGCTCTGGAGTGCAGGACTCTGCTGTCACACGGGGCCTCACATTGTCCCTGTTCACAGCTTGAACTTTATAAACCCGATTTAATGTTAAATAGCTGACAGATGACTCCCAAGAGGCAGCTTCTGTCCAACTTAAAGTGACACAGCAGTGATAAAACCTCGATATTACCAGGTTTGTCAAGAAATTTTGAAGGCAGGTGGCGTTTTGTCTCCTCTTTAGTGCTGCAAAGAGTCCTGGAGGAGCAATGGCTTTGAATTGAGGAGCAGATTGTGAACGGAGCAAGGGGATCTCCAGATGCTTGGGTCTCTGGGCTCAAGTGTTGCTCTGATTTTACATTGCTGTAGTGACACTTGTGTGGTTCAGAGTGATTAATTGATGCTCTCTCTTCAGCAGCCCATGAACTCCAGCACCACAGCACTGCCCACTGACCTGCCCAGCTTCAATCTCATCAGCGAGAGCCTCTCCTTCGACTTCAAGGATACGGACATGAAGAGGCTGTCCATGGAAATCGAGAAGGAGAAGTACGTGGCATTCATCCAGTCTGGGCTGGGCTGGGATTTGTGCTGGATGTCAGCCAGGGGTGGCCAAGAAGTCCAAGGGCACCTGGGCAGTGCCAGCCCCGGGGTGGCAGCAGGAGCAGGGCAGTGCCCGTCCCCTGAGCTGGCACTGCTGGGGCACCTCCAGTGCTGGGACAGCTCTGGGAGCCTCCTGACAGGAGAGCCCTGGAGGGGCTGGAGCGAGTCCAGGGCAGGGAACGGAGCTGGGGAAGGGKCTGGAGCCCCAGGAGCGGCTGAGGGAGCTGGGAAAGGGGCTCAGCCTGGAGCAAAGGAGGCTCCGAGGGGACCTTGTGGCTCTGCACAACTCCCTGACAGGAGGGGACAGCCGGGGGGGTCGGGCTCTGCTCCAGGGAACAGGGACAGGAGGAGAGGGAACGGCCTCAGGCTGGGCTGGGGAGGGACAGGGGGGATATTGGGAAAATTCCTCATGGAAAGGGCTGTCCAGGGCTGGCACAGCTGCCCAGGACAGGGGTGGATCCCCATCCCTGCAGGGATTGAGCAGCCCTGTGGATGTGACACTTGGGAACACAGGTCAGTGGTGGCCCTGGCAGTGCTGGGGAATGGATGGACTCAGTAACCTCAGAGGGCTTTTCTAACCTGAACGATTCTGTGCTTGTCCTGGCTGGGCATTTCCCTGGTGGGGATCTGGTGTCACACACCTGTCCCTGCCCCCTGCTCCCAGGTGAGCTCAGGGCTCTGCTCCAGCCTGTTCCTCTCCGTGTGGTAACCCTGGCTCCTGCTCAGGCTGGAATTGCCACACGGTGGTGGAAAGGGTTAACAGCAGGCTGAGTGCTGGAGCCCTGAGCTTGTGGCTTTGTAGGGTGTCCRGGGAATGTGGAGATAGCTGGAGTGTGTTAAGGTCCTGGGTTAGGGCTTTAACCCCTTTTCCATGGAATCTGTGTCACATTCCTATATAGAAAGTGTTCGCCAGCAAGTTTGGATGTGATTATGAGCTTTGATCTTGTGTTTTCCTGAGGGTGTAAGTGTAGCCTTCAAAATTACCAATTGAGCAGAAATCAAAGCAGATCAGATTTTAATCTCTGTAGTAATAATGTGCTTTGTTCATCGATTGGGTCAGAGATCAAAGCCACAATGGCTCTGTCATCCCACTCCGGCCACAACTTCCCGAGGGTGCAGTGACACACCCCTGGATCCCAGAGGGTGCTTTCGTTTGTGCCTCTGCTCACTGCCCTCTCCGCTGTATGAAATCACTGACCTGGAGACAGGAGATTAAGAACTTTTTAAAAACTTCTCCTAAAGCCAGAAGGAAAAAGATAGGAGCTGAAAATAACAGGATAATTCCTAGTGCCGTACCCAGGTTGCTAACTAGGTCATGCTGCTCTCCTAAGTAGGGAGAGCTGTTTCTGCCAAATGCTCAAAGCAATAGGATGCTTTGCCTGTCTTCTCTGGGGCTGTTCTCTTTMCTCGGGTGCTGGGACAAAACCTCACTACAACTTTTGGCACTCAGAAGGGTTTCTGTTACCCGGCTGGCCCTCTGACCTGCCTCGGGGGGTTCATCACAGGTACAAAACTCATGGTGTGGTTTTTACCRTTGTTTTTTCATGGTGGAAGGCAGTTCAGAGTGTGTCCTGGCAATGGCTGGCATTTGGGGTTGGGTTTTTTCCCCTTTCTCTCTTTTTTTGGGAGCCTTTCTCTCTGCCAGGGATGCTGTGTGGCTACAAGACACCTGATATTTTGAGGACAGCGCTTGCTCCCACATAGTTTATGAGCTAAATCCCTCTAAAACATGACAAGTCAGTACATCAGGGTCCTTTCTCATGGAAAGATTCGTGGATTTGAGTTGTAGAGCTGGTTTGGGAAGGGGTGCAGGGGTGTAGAGCCCTCTTGAGCAGCTGCTTAAACTACTGTGTGGTTTAAACCTGTGTCAGTTTCACTTGCAAATTGGGAGCCTTAAAATACCGCCCAGCTTGGGTTTAATTTTGTATAATAATGTAACTTACACTTTTATTGCTGGGTTGGCTGTCTGGGTCCTGTTTAATAAGGAACAAATAATTGCTCTGAGCAGTTCACTGTGTGCTATAAACTGATATTATCGGTTCCACATGCTAAAAATAATGAGGAAAAGCTGTTTCTGTTGTAATTCTGTTATCAGGTGTCACCTCACCACGTACAGCTGGTCAGTGCTAACCCGGAGATGTTTTGTCTGTGTTTTAGGGTGGAGTACATGGAGAAGAGCAAGCACCTGCAGGAGCAGCTCAAYGAGCTGAAGACAGAAATTGAGGCACTGAAGCTCAAGGAAAGAGAGACAGCTTTGGATATTTTGCACAATGAGAACTCCAGCCGGGGCAACAGCAAGCACAACACTATCAAAAAGGTATCAGAGGGCCCCAGTTTGTATTTTCCCTGATAAAACCTTTTAGAAAGAACCCTTAAAATAACCCTGCTTTTGATAATAAAATCATTGGATCTAGGTTTTCTTCCCCAGCTGCTTAGCTTTGATGAGAGAATTCCAGCTCGTGGTGATGCTGGTGTGTGGATCCAGCCTGATCTCTCCAGTGGYGTGGGGAGGGATGTGAAAGTCTTGCTGAACCTTAAAAGCTGTCCAAGGATGTTACTGGAAAGGATCTGCATCCCTAGTGAACAGGAAAAGCCCTCCCTGACTCCTGCAGCCATTCCCTACCAGCAKTGAGCTTGTCTGATGAATAATGAGGGCAGAAATACTCCTGACTTAGGAGCTCTCTGTGGAAAAAGCCCAAAGCTCTTYCTCTCTTTTAATCTCTCTAGAGAAACCTGTAGTGCAGCTTCAGTCACTAACAGCAAAGCCTTTGCTGGCAGGGGGTGTGAGACCTCTGCTCCCAAAATGGAGCTGACATGAGGAACTTTAGCCAAAAATTGAGACTGCCTGGGTCTGCTGACCTGAAAGCTCACAGCAAAACCCCCTCTTTATTTCTACATCCCATCCTTTTCCCTTGGCTCAGGAACGAGGGGCTGGGGCACATCCACAATGGATTTGCTGGGATGTGGTGGTTGGCCCCACTCACCTGCAAAGGCTTTTCTTTCCCTGCAAAGGCTTTTTCCTGGCTGGCTTTCTGCTAGCAGCTGTCCTCAGGAAGGATTCGGAAATCTGTCCGGCATGGGACACTGGCTGTGGTAACGACTCCAGGCTTGAAAAACAAATCCTGCTCTCTTTACTACTCCCAGCCTAGAGTTGTGTCTGAAAGAATTTGGAAATATCAATTCTTGCCGACTTTCATGGCTGGGAGTTTGTGATCACTGAATTGGGGCAGGAAAATGAATCTAGCGGGGCTCACTCGCCGGTTTCCCCGTGCTGGCCTGGAGCTATTCAGGTTCCTGTCACACTAGAGCAGAGAAAATAAAAATCTTCACAGCCCCTTTTGTCATTATAGAATCTGGAGGCGTTTCTGCTCCCAGTGGGTTTTGGTAGGATTTGTCTCCGTGTTCCAAGTCCTTGGTTTAAACAGAAACTGCTAAATTTTCACTTCTGACAGAGAGGAGTTCATAGAGAGCTGATGGTCCCATTTGTCTCCCTTAAGGAGGGTGGCTGGGCAATCATTTCCCCGTCTGTCAGGGCTTGTCACGGTGCCGTCACTTTGCCTTCCTTTGAAGCTGGAGTCTCATCTTGTCCCCTCCCTTCCGCAGGGAGCGGGGCCTGCATCCCAGYAAGGAGCAAAGGTTCCCAAATAACAGACTATTAGTGGAGACATCAGAGGCAAATTACAGCCTGCTCTGCTCGGGAAGGTCAGCAGGGCTTTTGTCTCTGCCGTGGAGAAGGCAAGGAAAGCACAGGGTACCAGGAACGGGATCTCAGTCCAGCAATCTTTCAATGGCACCAACCCCTTGCCTTACCTGGAAGCCGCTCATCGCTCCAGGCAAACCCTAAGATCCCACAAATCGCCTGCCCTCCCATCACACGGGATTATTATTATTTGTTGTTCGTTTTATTTTGCTGGTTTAGCCTCAAGCCCAGGGCAGAAGACCTATCTGCATTTGAGAATTCCAAGTAGGTTGTTCCAAGGTACTCTGCGTGGGGGCGCTGGGTTGTGGCTGTGGCACTAACCCGTGCATGAGCTTGCCTGCGCTCCGGCGGCACCGGCTGCCCGCGGTCCAGCCCGGCCCTCCCTCCCTCGGGAGCACTYCCAGCCTCTCTGCATTTGTTCCTACACCTGATCCTCCGTGCTGGGAAGCGGCTTTCTTGGCAGAAGTTGAGTTGGCAACCTCGGAGGGGGAGTGCAGGTAGAGGCRCTTAAATAATTCAGCGCGCCTGTTTTTTTACACCGGTGGTTGGGAATCTATTGGAGGTGCAGGGCAGCCTTTGAAGATTCCTTTAATGAAGTAAACCAGCACCTTCCCCCCTTGTTTGCTGTAGAAAGGAATTCAGGAGATAGAAAAAAAAAACCCAAACAAACAGCCAAACCCCATCAGCTYTGCTGCCAAAACTGTCAAAACAGGCTAAAAATGCGCAGCTCCATCGCGGAGCGGAGTGGCACGAGGACACTCTGCCTGTTTGAGGAGCATCCCAGGAAGGTAAAGCAGAGAATTGAGGACATCTGGTGTCTGCAGGTGGCTCTTGGGCCAGGGGAAGCCCACCAGCACATCTGGGACAGGAGTTGTCCTTCTGCCTGCACTGACTTTACCTGTCCCTTGCCACCTCCAGCCAGGGGATTCCTGCTCCTCTAATGCCATGTCTCTTCTTCCCAGAGCCTGCTTTCCTCCAAGGATTTGCCCTCAATCCGCAGGCTGTGTGTGTGTGCAGAGCATCCACTCCCTCCATTGGGAGGATGAGTTTGGGGAAGCTTTCCTGCTCTTCCCTGGAGCATGGTTCTTGCACAGCCGCAGGGTTTAGGGAGCTTGGAGTCGGTGGCACTCAGGGAAGTGCTGGGACAGCAGCACTCATGGGTGGCAGAGCTGGTGGAAAGTGGTTTTGGAAAAGACACAGCAATTCCCCAGCCCCTCTGGAGCTCAGGAGCAGAGGCAGGAGGATGTTTTACCCAGGAGCAGCCAGCACAGGTTCTTCAGGCTGTTCTTCACTGCACCAGCCAYTYCAGGGGCTGTGAATCCTTGGAGTTRGGGGTCTTCCCTGTTCTGCACTGCACCAGCCATTCCAGGGGCTGTGAATCCCTGGAGTTTAGGGTTCTGGGGAGCTGCAGGTGTTCCCAAGACAGGCTGCTCTCATTGTTAAGCACTTCCACGGGGAAGAGGCTAAAAAGGGTGACCCTGCAGGTTTGGGCCACCTTGGAGGAGGTGTTGGATATCTCCAGACAGACTGGCCGTGGATGAAGCCCATTACACCCTCCCCCCTGGCTTGAAGAACTCCAGGACAGGTGAATTTGGGATGAAATCCACCTGTGGCTGCAGCACAGGAGGAGGTGAAAGGCAGCCCTGGCAGCAGCTGGGAGCGCTCCAGTGGCCGGGAGGAGCCCCCAGAATTAAAGCAGCTGCACGACGAGCGCTGCGGCGTGACCTCCGGGGTTTGCCGCCTGCCTTTGAAGGCGCCTGCGAAGTTTCTCATGTTTAATTACGTGGTTAACATGCTAATCCCTTTTTATGAGCTCTGTGGGCACAGMACAGGCACCTCATCTGGAAGCTGCTCTCCCTTCTCCGTAGCTCCCCGCCGTGGGCTGGTGCTGTGGCTCCAGCTGGCTCTGGTTCCGGAGGGTTTTGTCACYTCGGCTGTGGTGGAGGGTGTAAAACCCACTTCTTCCTCATCTCCTCCGCTGCAGCAAAGCTCCCAGGACAGGCTGCTAAAACACAATCGCCTCTTTGATTCCAGTTGCTTTCTTCTTGCACAGTCATGCTTATTTACTGGGATTTAAGCCCTTTGAAGTATCCAGGCAAGGAGCAAATCTCCACGCCTGTTCCCAGACAAGCGGCTTTATCGTTGAGCTTCTGCTCCTTCCACAGGCAGCCTTGGCCTCTCCTGCCAGGCTCTCACATGGCTCAGGSCTCTCTCCAGGCKCAGCATCTCCAGCTCAATCCCAGGAGATCACTTTTGGGCCCATGGGGATCTCGCAGATCCTCCTTGCTCCTCTCCTGGCTCTGATCCTGGTTGTGGTGCAGCGGTGCCCTTGGCTTGGGTGATGATCATCATGAAGATGCTTTGAGATGCTCTCAAAACTGGGGGTGCTCACATGGAGAAGAGAATGCTCCAGTGAGAGCTCAGAGCCCCTTTTGGGGGCTAAAGGGGGTCCAGGAGAGCCAGAAAGGGACTGAGGACAAGGGATGGAGGGACAGGACACAGGGAATGGCTTCCCAGTGCCAGAGGGCAGGGATGGATGGGATATTGGGAAGGAATTGTTCCCTGGGAGGGTGGGTAGGCCCTGGCACAGGGTGCCCAGAGAAGCTGTGGCTGCCCCTGGATCCCTGGTCAGGTTGGATGGGGCTTGGAGCAGCCTGGGACAGTGGGAGGTTCCCTGCCCATGGCAGGGGTGGCACTGGATGGGCTGTAAAGTTCCTTTTGGATTTAGTCAATGAACAGAAGCACAGAAGGGTGAGTGAAGCAGAGCCAAGAGGATTTCTGCAGCCTTGTCCTCCCTCGTGCCACCTTTGGGATAGGCTGTGCTCTGTCCTTGTGAGGACTCTGGTGACTGGTGGTGGCACTGCTGCCTGAGTGTCTTGTCATGCAGACAGGATATGCCACCCACAAATGTCACAAGGCTCCTTCATCATCTGGACAGGTGGAAGGATTTTGGGAATCTGGCACTTGAGCAGTCACATTCCTTCTCTCTTTTTTCCATCTGCAGTCTGCTTGGGATCCCTGAAATGTGTCCCTTGAGGACACATTCACAATTCCTGTGGARTGCAGGAGGAGATGGAGGCTCATCCCACGTGGATCTTGCCCCCACACCCCCACATGTGAGAGGCCACATCCCTTCCACGTTCATTTTYTTCCCGGTTCTCCTCGGAGCTGGGAAGTGAAACTCCCAGGCAGTTAAACTGGGACACGGCAGCCTCTTTTCCTTGTTTACAAGGAACAAGAGGAAAGTAGGAAACGTCAGGGCTATCAGCTATTTCTGTGGCAGCCTTTGAAAAGCGTTTCCTTCACATGAAGCGTCATCTTCTCCTTTCAAACGGGCTCATCAAAGCGTCGGGGGCTGGGGGACAGTTGTGCTCAGGAGAGAATAAACGGCAGCGTGGGAGTGAGAGGAACGGGGAGGGAAACGGGGGAAGAATCACAGGAAAATAGGATTTGGGTTCAAAAGTGACAGTGGGAAGGGTCCCATCTGGCCGGTGGGACTGGGGAGTGGGCAGGGATGGAGAAAGGCAGCAGGGCAGCGAGTGGAGAATGAAGAGGATTTGGTGTGGTGATGAGCAGGGATTGTAGATCTTCCTGGCAGCAGGAAAACATCCTGGCATCACACGGGGTGAGGGTGGCTCAGGTCCCCGGCCGGGCTGCAGCATAAACGAGGAAWCAGCAAGGAAATGAGACATTTTCAACCTCTCCCTGCTGGGGGAGGCTTGGGGGCAGGTTSGTGGGAGTTGCAGCCCCTTCCTCTGCCCACTGTGTGGGGATGGCCCTGGCTCCTGGGGCTCGCAGGAGCCTCAGGGTTTTCCCTGGATTGGGTTTGTCTGGCCCCAGTGCTGCTGTGCCTGCAGTGATTGGGGTACCTGCTCCAAACCRCCTGTGCCTGCCAGGCACTTATTGGGTTGTTTTGGTTTGTGTTTCCTAAACCAGATCAGTCCAGCAGCCCTGGGCAGAGCAGGCTCAGAGGAGCTCTGGATCAGGAATGCAGGGAGCGGGACTCTTCCCTCTCCTCCCTTCCTCAGATCTTGATTCATTTCAGCTCAGGCCGCTTAATTGCGCTGCCTCTCTCTCCCTCTAAATTTTCCTTGATGGCTCTGGGTAGAGCATGGGGAGCCCACCCTCCCTCCTGCAGGAAGGAGATTATCATAATACTGCTTGTAAATCAATTTTTTTTCCCTTTTCTCTGCACTGACGAGGATGTAACYCCCTCTTAATCATCCTGCGCAGCGTTACGCTACGGGGAGGGATATTTATTTCGCTTCATCAGGCTGGGAGAAGGGGATGTGGGGACTGCGGAGAGTTTTTGGAGGTGTTGGAGGCTTTCCCCCCGACAGGTGACGGAGAGGCCGGTGTCTCCTCTTTGCTTTCACATCCCAGTGCAGAAAAGGAAGGAAAACCAGTTGAAGGAGTGGGATTTCCCTGCAGAGAGCTCCCCGCACCCACCCGCTCCCGCAGTGCTGGCTGGGATGAGTCAGGATGCCCCGGGAGCTCCCCTTGGCTCTTCCCATCCTCCCCCAGCTCATCCCTCGGGACTGGTCCGTGTGGTGGGAGCCAGGGTAKCCCTGCCTGTGCTCCAGAGCCRGGAAAAGAGCAGTGAAAGAAGGACRAAGGGAGGGGAGAGTTCTCCCTGCTGGCGCAGAGGCACTGTGCAGTCAGGAGCAGCCCTGATTCCAGTGCCTAACTGCAGTTGGATGTGAGGGGGCAGCTGCCTGGGGTTGCCGGGCAGTCCTGACCCTGATCCTGGTCCTCACTGGAAGGGGCCCTAAAGCTCATCCCATTGCACCCCCCTGCCATGGCAGGGACACCTTCCACCATCCCAGRRTGCTCCAAGCCCCARTGTYCAACCTGCCAATGTTGGRCACTGCCAGGGATCCAGGGGCAGCCACAGTTTCTCTGGGCACCCTGTGCCAGGCCTCCCCACCCTCCCGGGGAGAAGTCCCCCTGGCTTTTGCACTTCTGGTGGCAAAATCCAGCTGGGAGCCAGTGATCCACAGGGCACGGCCCTGTTGGGAAATCTGTTCTCACACCTGTCCATGGGATTCTATCTCCTCAAGACTCATCTTTGCTCCCACTCCCCCTGTGGCTGCTCTTCCTATGCCTCAGAGTCCCTGGATGGGTTAAAAAAACTACCACTGAGCCTCTCCTGGAGCCTTTGGATGTTGTGGATGAAAGCATCCAGCGAAGGAGCAGGGCTGCATCTCTCCTTTCTCCCTGGGYTTGTGCTGGATGCTCTGGAGCTCTGCCTCCCCCTGCTTCCCAAATCTCTGGGCTGAGGCAGGCACAGCTTTGGGCTCGGGCTGCCCTCAGGGTAGCCCAGGACCCCAAAACCACCTGGGGAGTTAATGGAGAGCAGTGTGTAGTTAGAGGCAGAGAGCCAGGCTGGGAACAGTTGGTTTCCTTGATTTGCCTGAGGGAAACATCTTCCCTGTGCTCCATGAGCGGCTGCAGCCGGCAACGCTCTCCCAGCTCCACTCTCCCAGCTCCCTTCTCCCAGCTCCACTCTCCCAGCTCTGCTCTCCCGGCTCCCTTCTCCCAGCTCTGCTCTCCCGGCTCCCTTCTCCCAGCTCTGCTCTCCCGGCTCCCTTCTCCCAGCTCTGCTCTCCCAGCTCCCTTCTCCCAGCTCCGTTCTCCCAGCTCCCTTCTCCCAGCTCTGCTCTCCCAGCTCCCTTCTCCCAGCTCTGCTCTCCCAGCTCTGCTCTCCCAGCTCTGCTCTCCCGGCTCCCTTCTCCCAGCTCTGCTCTCCCAGCTCCCTTCTCCCTGCTCCGCTCTCCCTGCTCTGTTCTCCTGGCTCTGCTGTCCCAGCTCTGCTCTCCCTGCTCTCTTCTCCCTGCTCCGCTCTCCCTCCTCTGCTCTCCCAGCTCCCTTCTCCCAGCTCTGCTCTCCCAGCTCCCTTCTCCCAGCTCCCTTCTCTCTGTTCCACTCTCCCAGCTCCACTCTCCTGGCACCCTTCTCTCTGCTCTTCTCTCCTGGCCCTGTTCTTCCAGCTCCCTTCTCCTGTCTCCGTTCTCCTGGCTCCCTTCTCCCAGTTCCACTCCCTCGGCTTCATTCTTCCTGCCAGCAGGGCTCTGGGTTTGCCTGGGGGATCCTGCGGGCATCTCTCCTGGCTATGCTGGGAAGGAATGAGCTCCTGGGGGCTCAAAGAATGAGTTCCTGGGAGGGTGAGAGGCAGGCAGCAGAAGGGATGGATTCGGAGGCTCAGCCTTGGGAAGGAGGTGGATGGTGGGTAGATTATGTAATCATGGAATGGTTTGGGTTGGAAGGGTCCATGAAGCCCATCCCATCCCACCCCTGCCATGGCAGGGACTCCTCCCACTGTCCCAGGCTGCTCCCAGCCCCAATGTCCAGCCTGGCCTTGAGCACTGCCAGGGATCCAGGGGCAGCCACAGCTTCTCTGGGCACCCTGTGCCAGGGCCTCCCCACCCTCTCATGGAACAATTCCCTTCCCAATATTCCATCCAACCCTTCTTTCTGCCACTGGGAAGCCATTCCCCCTTATCCTGTTGCTCCAGGCCTTTTCCCAAGCTCTTCAGCTCTTTTGGACCCCTTCAGGCACTGGAACACTTCCAGGAATGGGGCTTCCTGTCAGGTGGCCCCAGCAGTGGGTCTGGCAGCAGCCTGGGCCTCTCCACTCCTTTTTTTCCCCCCTCTCCTGCCTTAGAGAGGAAAAACGCTGCCTGTAGCACACAGAATCCCTGTCCCACCTCACCCACCTCCCATTCAGCTCTGGAGAGGACTCTGGAGCAGTCAGGGAATGGTGAAGAGAAGGAGAGCCAGCTCTGGCCCGAGAGCTGCTGCCAAGAAAGATTATTAAGCCCCTGCAGAAATTTCCTCTGCAATAGAGATTTTTTTTTTTCTGACCAGCATTAGAGCTGTGAAGGAATTACTGAGGGGGAGAAGTAGGGAAGCGCCTGACRGCTCCGTTGAGGGGCTTAACTCGCTGTAAGGTGATCCCAGGGTTCCTGTTTCAGCAAAAGCGGCATTCCCGGTGGAAGGCTCCCTGCTTAATCCAGCTGAAAGRAAGCCCTGGCAATTAGCCGGCTGCTTTGGCAAACTCCTGGTGATCCAGCAGCTGCCTGGAAGGTGGCACTTCTCCCAGTGCACTCCATTGGGTGGTTGTCTGTAAATCCTGGGATTTCTTCCCCGCCRCTGAGGATTTCTTTTATCTCCTCTGGCCCAAACGGGCTCACGGTTTCTGCGTGGGGTGTTATTTCTGGGATGGCTGTGGAAAGTGTTCTGAGGGTTTCTGACTCCTGTGGAGCCTGCAAGGACAGTGTTGGGAGGGAGAGCGCTCCAGCTGTGTCCTCCAGCAGGATGGATGGAGCGGGGTCAGAGTGACATCCTGGGATGGCTGCATGGACCACGTGTGCTGGGRTGTGAGCACAGGCAGAGGATGGTCCCTGTTTGGTGACAGAGAGGACACGTGTCTGGTGGCTGTCGAAGTTGTGGGTTCTCCCCCATCTTCCCAAGACCCTCCTGTATATCCTCCTCGAATCCAGTCTCCCATGTATCCCCATCCTGGAGGCCTCAGCCATGCCGATGACCTTGACTGAGTCTCTGCCCCCTGCTTTCCCTCAGCCTGTGCTTGCTGTGGTGGGGGCTGCACGACCCCCGGCTTCTGCAAACCCCCAGCTTTGAGATCCCTGGCATTTCCAGAGGGATCCAGGCAGCAGCTCCCTCCTGGGATGCCCCGTGGGAGGTTGGGGGTGCCCCCTGACCCCACTCTGCTCTCTTCCAGCTCACCCTACAGAGCACCAAGTCCCGCGTGGCCTTCTTCGAGGAGCTCTAGGAAACGACTGCTCCACACCGCTGCTGCTTCCGACAGCTYCCGCCCCGCCGGAGCTGTCCCGAAGCCGGGGGCTCCCAAAGGGATCACCCGGGAGCCACCGGCTGCTCCCGCCCCCAYGCACCGATGGACTCGGGGCTGGCTGCCCACAGACTGTGTGATGTTCTCTAGCTTAGCATTCCTTCATCCTCCTCCTTCTCCTCCTGACACTGTTTTCCTGGGTTYTCCAGCTTTTTTTCTTGTTTTCCTAGCGTACCTTCCAGGCTCGGCCCTGCAGGCTTTTCCCTGGAGCCGGGGTCGGGGCTGTGGCTGTGCCTTCCCACCCTGGCAGCGTGCCCGAGGGTCTGCCTGGCAAGGGATGCCATCCCTCTGGATTGCCTTCTGCCAGCTCTGGAGCTGTGTGCCAGCCTGGTGCCCCTGGTGCCAGCCTGGAATTCYGTGTGCWKRTCWGGAATTCYGTGTGTCAGCCTGGAATTCCGTGTGCTGGTCTGGAATTCCGTGTGTCAGCCTGGAATTCTGTGTGCTGGTCTGGAATTCCGTGTGTCAGCCTGGAATTCCGTGTGCTGGTCTGGAATTCCGTGTGTCAGCCTGGAATTCCGTGTGCTGGTCTGGAATTCCGTGTGTCAGCCTGGAATTCCATGTGTTAGCCTGGAATTCTGTGTGCTGGTCTGGAATTCCGTGTGTCAGCCTGGAATTCCGTGTGCTGGTCTGGAATTCCATGTGTCAGCCTGGAATTCTGTGTGCTGGTCTGGAATTCCGTGTGCTGGTCTGGAATTCCGTGTGCTGGTCTGGAATTCCATGTGCTGGTCTGGAATTCCATGTGTCAGCCTGGAATTCTGTGTGCTGGTCTGGAATTCCGTGTGCTGGTCTGGAATTCCGTGTGTCAGCCTGGAATTCCATGTGCTGGTCTGGAATTCCATGTGCCAGCCCCGCTCGGTTCTCCAGCACGTGCGGCGCTGCTGGAGCCCCATTAGGATCCCGAGCATGTTCCAGTGGAGTGCTGTAAATCAGGAACACACGGCGCGCTGGGAGAGGAGCGGGCAGCGGGATGGCAGGGGCCCGGGGCTGGGGGATCCTTGGCTGCTTCCCTGGGGAGAGGAGCTGGGAGGAAGGGCCCCTCCTCCTCCTCCTTTCTCCTCCTCCTCCTCCTCCCTGCTGGGCACGGGGAGCGGGAAAACAGCTAGTGCCAACCAAATGAAACCTTCCTGCAAACTGTGACAAACCTGGGCAGCTTCAGGCTGGGGAGGCTCCGGGGGCTCTGAGCTGGGCATTCCCTGGGTGCCTGGGCCCCTCGGAGCCCCCCGGGAATGCCGCTATCCTGGGCTGAGCCCGGGGCTGCCGGCTCCTGCCTGTCCCATCGCGGGTGCCTTCGCTCTSACCCCCCCGCGGGGGGAACAGGGATACCCTGACCTTCCCTTCCTGGCTCCGTCCCAAATCCTGTCCCCAGCTCGGCTGGAATCCTCTTCCAGCTGCGATTTACTTTCCAGCAGAGCCGGTGCTGCTCCAGGGATCCCCCACATCCCGTCAGGAGCCCCAGTTCCTCCCCCCACAACCTCACCAGACCCACAGCCCCACCGGAGGCTCCTCCTGGGGCTCAGCGTGGAGTAAATCCCATCCCAACCCGTTTTTATTTAAACCCTGGGACTGATTCCCYGCACGTGGCTGCAGTTGTGCTGGCTGTGGCCTGGCACAGCCACTTTCCCATTCCCTGGACTGTTGTACTCCGAAGGAATAACCGTTTTCTCCTGTTTTAATAAAAATTCACAGCACTAGGAGGGGAGCCGAGGCTTCTTTGCCTTGTTTTCTTTGGGAAAAGCTGCTGCAGTTAGTGGTGCCGGGTTTAATGGGAAGCAGARCTGCAGTGCTGAGATCCCTCTGGCAGCTCCCACAGGATCAGGATTGCTCCGTGGTCCTGYTGTTCCCAGTCCTTTGGGTCTTTCCTTGAGGAAAAAAGGATTTGGGGTGCCTAGGGGATGCTGAGCCTAGTATTTGCCATCCCTGACACTTCCTGATCCYATCCTGCCTGGAATAAATAAAGGATGTGCTGCTGCATTGACCTCAATTTTATAATTAATCACGGGTGAAACCGGCCCAGCCCAGCCAGCCCCGACCCCCGGGGCTGTTCCCGACTCCCGGCCCCTCTGGGATCAGCGATGGATGTGCTTTTCATCYGCTCTCTGGCAGCAAAATCCCGGGAGATTCACCGGAGCTCCTGACCAGAGCTCGTCCCCAGCACCGCGGGTGGGAATAGGGGATTTTTTTCCAGTGTTTGTCATTTTAAGCAGGGCTGAGAGGGGTGGGACGGCGTTTCTTTTGGCAGAGGGATGCTGGTGGGATATCCATGGGAATTTTTGGAAGCCTGAAGGCAGCAAGGGAGGGATGTGGAGAGTGACCTGATTTCCCGTGTGGGCTCCAGTGATAGGAATGTAACTGGTGTGTCACCTGCACTGCCTGCATCCCAAAATCAATCCAGAAGCGATTTACCCAGCACAGGCTGGGGCAGCAGGGTGGGTGGGATACACTGGGGATGGATGTGCTGGGGTGGAGCTGGAGGGATGGGATGGGATGGGATGGGATGGAATGGGATGGGATGGGACGGGATGGGACGGGATGGGACGGATGCCCTGAGGATCCAGCAGGTGAAGCCAGGGATGGATCCAGTGTGGATTCAACCCTGGCACAGGGGTCCCTGTTCCCAGGGGCCCTGCACAAAGAACTGCACACTCCCAGCCTTGCACACTCCCAGCCTTTCCCATTCCCAGCCTTGCACACTCCCAGCCTTTCCCATTCCTAACCTTGCACACTCCCAGCCTTGCACTCTCCCAACGTTCCCTCTCACACGCCCAGTCCGGTGCCAGCTCCCTGCCCGTCCTCCCTGGCACATCCCAGGCCGTTTCCGTGCTGTCAAAGGAAGTTTCACCCTGACTTTTTCCCTTTTTAGCAAGTTGAGCTCAGCGGGAGCCGCGGGTGTGGGTTGGTGTGAGCTGACTTTGCTCGAGGAATAGAAACCACTGAAAAGCCTTTGCCATGTACCTCTCCCAGCCTCTTCCCCTGCCGTGGRTTCCTGAGGAAGGAAATTGGGGATTTAGCCAATCCCAGGCAGCACMTGAGTGCTTTGGCAGTGGTTCTCCACTTTGGGGTTCCCAAAGTTTCCTCAACTCACTTTATTTCACTTCCAAAYCATTAAATACTCTCAAAAATAGAATAAAATGTGAAGAGCTGGTGAGAAAGGGACAGAAGGGACACAGGGTGACCCGTGGGTGGGAAGTTCAGGGCCAGCAGCCCTGGAGGGGGAGTCAAGGTGCTGGTTCAGAGYCCACCCAAAAGGTGCATAGCTTTGGCCAGCAACTCCTGTAGGAAAGGGGCTTGSAATGGGCAGCAGGGATGGATGGGGAAACTGAGGCAGGGATGGCTCTGGCCTGGCAGTCTGGTGGCTCAAACCCATGGCTACTGCTACACACACCCTGCTGCTGTCCCCTGCACCCTGGGGTACCCCCCCTCCTCAGCCCTGGGTGCCTCGAGGGGTGAGGGTGGGGTGTCAACAGGGGGACCAGGACACCCCAGGGCTGCGGGTGGCTCTGCGGAGTCAACTTCTGCCCAACCCACAATGGGGTGGGAATTGGGAACAGTTCCTGGGACACCCCATCCCTGTTCTCTGGCACCCCAGGGTGCTCAGGGCACCCCCTGGTCTGGGATGGGGGGGAGGTGAAGAGGTAAAACTCTGCTCCCAGGGGTCACAGCCAGAATGATCCTTCTGTGTTTGGATGGTGCCTTGAGGATGTGGGGACCTTGTTCCCTCCTGGCTGACAGCTGCCAGCCCAGTGCTGTCCCTGCTGTCCCCATCCATCCATCCATCCATCCATCCATCCATCCATCCATCCATCCATCCATCCATCCATCCATCCATCCATCCATCCATCCATCCATCCCCATCCATCCCCATTGATGGCTTGCCTAGCTCCCTCCACCTTTGTCTTCCAGGGAGGAAAAAAGGGGGAAGGAAATGAATTTCAGAGGGATCAGGGAGAGGAGAGGCAGTCTGGATGGGGACTGGCACCCAGGGCTGCTCCGCTCCTCACGGGGACCTGGCAAGCTTGGCGTGTTTTGCCAGGTTAATCAGGGATTTATTGTGCAGGGAAGGCACAGCTGCACGGCCGGAACCCCTGGCTGGGACYGGAGCTGCCCACTCAGCCCCGGGAAGGGATAAAATATGGATGTTATGGAAGCAGATGGATGTGGAGTGAGTAGAGGGTGAAACCCTGGAGCTGAGTGTGGGGTTTGGGGTGAGGTGTGGGATCACGGTGGGGTGCAGGACCAGGCTGTGGGGTGCTGCCATCACTGCCCCGGAGCAGGAATGCTGGAGTCCCACTGCCATCACCTTCTGCTCCGCCACGGGGACACTGGGCATTGTCACAGCCCTGCAGGGATGTGCCTGATGTCCTTATCTTGCCATCCTGGCCCTGGGTACCTCTGGAACCTGGCACTGGGCAGCCCCAGCTGCTGGAATTCTGGCACCGGGTACCACCGGATTCTGGCATGGCAGAGCATCCCACTGCAACAGGTCACAGCATCCTGGAAAAGTGGGGCTGATGTCACCTGGGAAGGTGGGGCTGATGTCACCTGGGACAGTGGGGCTGATGTCACCTGGGACAGTGGGGCTGATGTCACCTGGGACGGTGGGGCTGATGTCACCTGGGACGGTGGGGCTGATGTCGCCTGGGATGGTGGGGCTGATGTCGCCTGGGAAGGCGGGGCTGATGTCACCTGTCGCTGTGCACCAGCCGTGGGATGGGGCCGGAGCCAGGCAGAACGCCCCGCAGGAGCCATCCCCTTCCCTCCTGGAGCAGCCCGATCCCTCCTTCCCGGGCTGCCCGCACACGGGTTCTGTGCTCTCGGGGAGTTCAGAGGGTCCCTGGCTGAGCTCTCTGAGTTGTTTCCTGCTCCATCTCCTGGCAGGAGCAGGCGAAGCCCCCGCTGCTTTCAGAGAATCCCGGGCTGCACCGGCTCGGAGGGATGCTAAGAACAGGCTCATCTCGGTTTTTTTCCCCCATTTATCTTAAAAGAAAAGTTCCCCCTGAGCAGAATTCTTGCCTCCTCCCACGGCTGGGCTGTTTCCCCTCTCCAGAACCCAAATTCAACGGAGCTCTCCGAGSTTTTCCCATTCCCCCTTCCCTCCCCACCCTCCTGGAGCTTTGCCCGGCGTTTCCCCAATCACGAGTGGGATTTGCTCCGAAATTGATCCCGGTGTGGAACAGCCGCGGCGGCGCTGGGGGGCCGCTCCTGCCCCCGCCCCGGGGCTCTCTCCGCTGCCCTTCCCGGGTTTCCAGCGGGCACCGGGAGCTGGCAGCYGTCGCGGCGGCCCGGATAACCTTGTGGCTCGGAACATTGCGGCCATCCCTCTTCTCCCATCAAGCGTTCATTTAGGAAACATTTCGCTAAATACCCACCTGACAGCGCGGCCCCGGGAGATTGATGCCTCCGGCGCCTCCCAGGGCTCGGTGCCAGGGACTTTAAAATGTCACCACCACACCCCCGGGGCGCTCCCGTCGCCTGCCGGTGCCCGGGGGAGCGATGGGAGTGTCCGGAGGACGCTGYGGTGCCCATCCCTGTCCCAGCCTGCTCAGGCTGCTGTGAGGTCCCTGGGTTTGTCCTGAGGGATTTGAGGGCACTCAGCACAGGTTTGTACCAAACCTGCCAGGTTTCCCCGTCCCTGACAGCTTTCCCATGGCTTTGGTCATCCTCATCCCATCCCATCATCTTAAATCCCATCCTCATCCCATCTCCATCCACATCCCATCCCTTCCCCTCCCCACTCCTCTGAGGGATCCCTATCACCATCCTTATCCCCATTTCATGCCATCCCATTCCCAACACTGTTCCCATCCTCATCCGATTGCTATCCCAATCCCTGTGTCATCTCCATCCTAATCCTCATCCTCATTTTTTGCCCATTCTTATCCCTAGCTCATTCCATCCCTATCACATTCCCTATCCCTGTCCCTATCCCATTCCCTATTCCTCTCCCATCCCAATACTCATCCCATTCTCATCCTCATCCCATTCCACCCCACCTCATTTCCCAAGGCAGGAAAGATTCCAGGAGTCTCCTCTGGGCAGAGGGGAGGGGGGAGCGGGAAGGGCCCCTCAGTGCTGCCAGGGGAGGAATAAACGAGGAGCAGATTAATTAATTAATTAATTAAAGTTCACTCAGTGCCATCCCCATGCCAGAGCCACTCCAGTGCTTTTCCTCTCTCCATCCCCCCAAATTCCTGAAAGAAATAGGGACGTTGACGTCGGGATGTGACCCCAGAGCAGGGGCCCTTGGCAGTGCGATCCCTCTGATACGAACCACAAAGCACCAGGCCAGGACCGAGCTTCTCCAGCCTCATTAGCRGGGTCAGCTAATTAGGAAAACACCTGGGAGTGCTGGGAAAGTGCTGCTGCTGCCAGAGGGACAAAGGGACAGAGGGGAGAGGTGGCTCTGACCGGCTGGCAAGGCTGGCCCGAGCCCCGGAGGAGATAAAGGGGGAATTGTGAAAAGGATTCACAAATAAGGGAGGAATCGCAAAGAGGAACATTCCCAACATCCCAGGGGCTGCGGGCTTGGGTTTTATCCGGAATCCCTGGGATTTGGGGACACCGCTACTTCCACCCTGTCATTTTAGGATTGAGGAAACCCCAGAGCTTCTCCCGCAAAAAAAAACAGGGAGGGAATTCAGCGCGGGGTCTGCGGGGCAGAGCAGAGGGAGCCAGCGCGGATTGTCCCAGCCTTCATCCCATGGGGAAGGGAGCGGCGCGGCCAAGCCGGGCTCCGGGRCACACGGCAAGCGCTCCGGCGGTGATCCCTAATGAGGAAAAACCCAATCAGGGCCTCCAATGCAATTAAGCCACTTAATTCTCCTCCTCCCGTCGCTGTGCCGCCTGCCCGCCCCCACCCGCAGGGAACGACCCGCGGCCCCCCGTCCCTGGGGAGGAGGCTCCAGCAGGTCCCCGTCGCKGCGCAGGGAGCTCCGCCGGGGATTTGAGGGGAAAAGCCCAGAAATTGGCGGCGTTGTTCCTGCTGGGATTTGGGTGGTGAGAAATTAATGAGTTTCCACCCCAGGGCCTCTGGAGAATTAATTGGGAGGGAACTTTGTTAACGTCGAGGAGCAAATTGATCTGTTAAAATAAAAAGAAAAAAAAAATAAAAAGGAGGAGATTTTCAATCAGGCTTTGCTTTCTAGGGGGTTTGTTTCGCCCCAAAAGCCACTCATTTTTATCAGCATTTCCCTTTTTGAGTGCTGGGAGCTCAACCGCTGTATCAGACACTGGAGACTCCCGGCGTGGCGCAGATCCAGGCGCCCCAAACCTCCAGGAGAGGATGGAATTTTAGCAGAGTTGGAAAAACCCACCCYCGGGAGGAAAGACCCTGCCTTGTGAGCTGAGACCCCACAGCACCGGGAATTCATCCCTGACTTCCTCCTCTCCGGAGCGCGGCCGCGGTGTCTTTCTGCTGCCGGAGAGGGAAATTTCTCCCGACTGAAAAATAGCTTAAAGGGGACCCCAGCTGGTTAAAGCCAGCGGCGGCTGCGGCGGCGGAGGCAGCGCTGGGCTCCGGGAAGCCCCGGTGCGGGGTCCCGGGGGTGCTCCGGTGGGAGCTGCAGGGTTCAGCGCAGGGAGGCTGGAGCAGCCCCAAAATTCCCGGCAGCGGAGAATCGTCTGAGGCCGAGCACGTGTCCGCGGCGGCTGCAGGAGGCGAGGGGGGGCTGAGTGGAGCAGTCGGTTGGAGCAGCAGGAATCCTGTTCCAAGRTTTTTGAGGTTCTGGTGACAGTGACAAGATGAGAGGCACATATGGGGCCTGTCCAGCCGTGCCTCAGTTTCCCCGTCGCTCTGGCGCATCCTCGGTTCCGGTGAGAGCCTGGGAGGTGCCAGCTGTTCCCCTTTTCTCTCTGCCGCCCTGTTCCAGCCCTGGGCACCGCGTCCCTCCAAGGGTGCGGAGCAGGAGCCTTGGCAGCCTCCCCGTGCCACTGTCCCCACCTCCAGAGGTGCCGCCCAGGCACGGGGGACACTGCCACCCCCTTTGCCTGCTGGGCCGGGGGACACGCCAGCCCCGGGAATGTGGACAGCAGGATTTGGGAGGGGAGATGTGCCAGGTCCCGGGAGCTCCCTCGCCGTGTGCCTGAGCACAGGGATGTGACAGGAACGCGGGTGCCGTGGGGACACGGCGCGGTGGGGACCTGCCCTGGCGTGATTAATCAATGTCCAAGTGAGAAATAAGGGGAGAAATGTGATCGAGGCTGGGGGAATCAGGGGATGACTGGAAAAGGTGACAAGGACAGAGGGCTTCGCTCCTGGCCCCGCTTCCTGCCTCTTCCACCGCTCATTTCTGCCCCGCTGTCAGAGCAGGAGGTCGGGCCGTCACCCTGGGACACCCTGGGGACCTCGAGGTGTTGGCTGGCCCAGGGTGGCACGTGCAGGGGCTTTGGGGTGGTGGCAGCCTGGGGGTGACAAGCGCGGGGACAGCGGGGTGACAACGGCCCAGGCAGGGGATGCCGTGTGCGGGGACTGCGGGGCGGCGACAGCCGGGAACGGGGACTGCACCAGGAGCAGGGTGCCATGTGCGGGGACCTCGGCGCGGTGACAGCCCGGGGTGCCATGTGCGGGGACCTCGGCGCGGTGACAGCCCGGGGTGCCGTGTGCGGGGACCTCGGGATAACGACTGTCTGGGTGTGGGGTGCCACAGGCAGGCGATGGCATCTCGGGATGGTGACAGTCCCAGGAGCCTGCAGGGACCCTGCGACGGTGACTGCCCCACGAGCAGGGTGCCAAGAGCAGGGACCCGGGGTGGTGGCAGCCTGAGGGTGTGCCAAGAGCAGGAACCTGTGGGTGACAGCCGGCTGAACACGGGGTGCTGCGCATGAGGACCCGGGGGTGACACCTGTGGGGACACGGGGGGCCACAGAGACCCTCAGCTCTGCCTGCCGACCCCCGAGCACCCCCCGCGGGTTCCGGCGTCTCCCGCTGCCCTCCCTGCGGCCCGGGACGCTCCCCCTCATTGCCGCACTGCCCCCCCTCGCTGCCCCCCCCGGGGGGAGGCCCCACCTCCCCCCCGCCCCCAGCCCCATTTCCCGGGCGGGACCGTTCAAAACCCGCCCGGCGCCGCCGCTCCCCGGATTCCGCCGCCGCTCGCCGGGGCCGGGGCCGAGGATGCTCCGGCTGCCGGTGGCGGCGGGGGGGCGGCGGGTGCGCGGCGGGGGCTGAACCGCGGCGGCAGCGAGCCCCGGCCTGCCCGGGACACTTGGCGGGAAGGCAGAAGAGGAGGAGGAGGAGGGAGGAGGAAGACGAAAAGGCCGCCTTCAGCCTCGGCCCCGCCATGCCGGGCCCCACCGGGGAGCGTGGCCCGGTGGCAGCGGCTCCCCGGGGGCTGTGAGCGGCCCGGGGCCGGCGCAAGGGGGGCCCCGGGCGGAGGTGGGGGGGCTCCGGGCGGAGGGGGGGCCCCGAGCGGCATGGCCAGCCCCGTCCCCCCCGCCGCCGCCGCTTCCACCGGGATTTAACCGGGGCTTGGATGCTTTCACCTCCCGTTTCCACTTCGGGAGGGCATGTGCGCGGGGGAAGCGGGCCGCCCCCAGCGGAGCCCCCCCGCGCCCTGACCGCCCGGTGAGGGGCTCCGCCGCCAGCCCCGTCCCGCCGCCGGCCCCGGAGGACGGGGAGCGCCCGCCCGGCCCGGCCCCCCCTGGCCGGTGGGTACGGGCGGGGGGCGGCGGGTACCGGCAACTTGTGCTTAGTGTCCGGCGCTACCGATCGGGGGGAGCCCCCCCGCCACCCGACCAGATTTGGGTTTAAACTTTGGGTTTTGGGGAGCCCCGAAGATGCCTTTCCACCCGGTGACGGCGGCGTTGATGTACCGGGGGATCTACACCGTCCCCAACATCCTCGCAGAGCAGCGCCCCGTGGAGATCCCCGAGGATGAGCTGGAGGGTGAGCGGCTGCGGGGGGCTGAGGGGGCCGGGGGTCGGCTCGGATGAGGGGGGCATCCCCCGGGATGGGGGGGTGAGGGGCTTTGGGGGAGCGGTGAGTCCATCCCGCGGGATGCGGCTGTGCGGGAGTCGGGGTGCGCGTTCCCCCCGCGCCCTGGGGAAGCTGAGGGCGAGCGGGATGCGGATGGATGGAGGAGGAGGAGGAGGAGGAGGGAAGGAGGAGGGGAGGAAGGAGAGCTGGGGCGGGAGGCGTGCGGGGGTCCCGGGCCCCCGCTTGTGGCGATATGACACAGCAGGGACCGGCGGTGGTGGCGGGGGGCCGCTTCCCCCTCCGCGGCGCGGCGGGGTCACCCCCTCCCCGCTGTCATAATATGACAGCGGCTGGTGGCGCGGGGGACCCGAGGGGTGGCTGTCACCCGTGTCACCCCCCCGGGTCACGCCAGCTCCACGCAGTCCCGGTGTCACCGGACTCCGGCCGGGAGGAGCGGCCGGCGGGGCTCTGCCCACCCGTGCGATGAGAGGGGCCGAGCTCAGCTCGCTGCCACCAGAATGGCTTTTTCCACCCCAAAAGTTTGCCGGGGCGGCCGGACGGGCGCTGGCGGTGCCCGGYTTTGGGGTGTCYCTGGGGAGCCCGGGGCGRAGGGRTGCAGCACCCCCGGCTCCAGAGCGGCACCGGAGGGAAACTGAGCCACGGGGGGTGACGCTACGCGTGTCCCCACTCTGCCTGGGGACAGCACCCTCAGCCCGGCACAAACCTGGAGCCCCGCAGAGAAACTGAGGCAGAGAGCCGCAGGGCTGGGGTGAGGGGACACCCCAAATCCATTTGGGAACCCTGAGCGGGCACTCACACCGTGCAAGGGTTGAGTGTGTGTGTGTGTGTGTGTGTGTGTGTGTGTGTGTGTGTGCAGCTCTGCAGAGTGTGCGTGTGCGCTGCCGTGCCCGTTACAGCCTCACTGCAGGGGCTGTGTGTGAGTGTGTGAGTGTGTGTGTGAGTGTGCATAGGCATGGCACACCCCTCCACAGCACGCTGTGAGTGTGCTTGCACATCTGTACGGTGTGTGCACACATCTGTGTGTCACACACATCTGTACGGTGTGTACACACATCTGTACGGTCACACACATCTGTACGGTGTGTACACACATCTGTATGGTCACACACATCTGTACGGTGTGTACACACATCTGTATGGTCACACACGTCTGTGTGCACACGCACAGCCTCACTGCAGCGTGGCTCTGTGAGTGTATGTCGGTGTCGGTGTCGGTGTCGGTGTGGGTGTCAGAGCGCAGCTGTGCCATCCCCGTGGCCGTGACAGTGTTTGTGTCACTGCAGCACGTGCGTGTGCCCATGGCCAGCCTGGCTGCAGGAGGTGTGTGTGTGTGTGTGTGTCTGTGTGTGTGTGTCTGTGTGTATGTGTGTGTCTGTGTGTGTGTGTGTGTGCGCACACGCAGCATCACGGCAGGACGGGTTCGCACACACAGCCCTGCTGCAGAGGGTGTTTGTGTGCCTGTGCACAATCACGGCACTGCTGCACCATGGCTGAGTGTGTGTGTGTGCAAACACAAGCACGGCACTGCTGCACCATGGATGTGTGTGAGCGTGTGTGAAAACACAATCATGGCACTGCTGCAACATGGCTGAGTGTGTGTGTGTGCAAACGCAAGCATGGCACTGCTGCACCGTGGTGTTTGTGAGTGTGTGCATGCACAAGCACATCTGTGAGAGGTGTTTGTGTGTGTGCACAAGCACAGCCTGGCTGGGATGGGGTTGTGTGTGTCCATGCGTGTGCACACACACGTACAGCGCCCTGCGAGGGGGTGTGGGTGTGCAGGGGCAAGGGTGTCACTGCAGGGGGGTGTGAGTGCATCCGTGTGTGTGTTTGTGTGTTTGTGTGGTGTGTGCGTGTGCAC